GCTGAACAGACTAAGGCGCGGATCGAGACGCTATATGGCGAGAACCAGGACTTGGAATCCAGATTAGAGGAGATGCGACATAACCGAAAGGCGATGGAAGCCCAGGTCCGCGAAAAGACAGAACGTAATGAGGAACTAAAGAAGACTCTGCTGGAGCTACGGCGGAACCAAGAGAAGGTCGCAGTTCGGCTAGAAGAGGCGAAGGCAAAGAAGGGAGAGTTGGCACAACGACTCGAGCAAAAAACAACTGAGAAGATGCTGCTTAAGCAGGAGAGCGCCAAGCTACGACCATACACACTGCAAAGTCCCCAAGCGTTGCAAACAAGCCTAGCGGAGCTCAGCAATACTCTCAACACAGATAAAGCCCATATAGATTCTCTGGATCGACGAGCAAGAGCATTACAGACGTCAACGGATTCCTTCGGTGTTGTGGCGACGGATGTTGCATCCTGTATCAAACTTCTCGATGAGATCTCAACGGAACTAGCCAAGGAGGAAGAGGAAAATGCTAGAAACGCGAAGCAGCGAGATGCGTTATCGGAACGTGGCAACAACGTCAAAGAAGTAGAGAGAGTAGAGTCATTGCTACAGAGGCAGTTAGGCAAGTGGAACGAGCGTACAGAAAAACTCCGCGAACACAGTCGAGAGAAGGCCCAGGAAGCCAAGGAGAAGATGGAAGAGCTCCGGGCATTACACAAGAAGTTGACAGAGGAGCGAGCGACGAAGGGCACGGAGATCGAGAGAAGGAGGGTCCGAATTGAGCAAACTGAGAAGAAGGTACGTATACTCAGATTATCCCCCTCGGCTACCCTATACTTGGTGCTAACGACAAGATAGATGCTGGATCTCAAGGAGAACATCGAGAGAGAGGTTCACAGCGCATATGATGAGTATCTGAAGATGGAGTCACACATCAAGCTGTACATTACAGAGATGGAACAGGCCGTCTCCATCTAACCATTGTCTCTCACCTTTTTAACGATAACGAGGCCATGAAAGGATGATACCAGGTAGGCGTTAAGGTGTTGCATACCGACCAGGACCGGAAAAGTGCACACGGGGCTTATTATCATTGTACCTTGTGTTTTAGGCATCTGAAGAGATACCATATTATTTATAAAGTCAACCATGCTTTTACTGGCGTCTACTTGTCTTCATTCAAGTTTAAATCCCATTCCCCAAGTTGGAAATCAAACCACCTCTTCATGACTCTTCCGACTTCTACGGTCCGACCAGTCCAACCGCCAGCCTCCGCGTCGGGACCCAGTCTCCGCCCACCGCCACTTAAAAAGGGAACGTTTTCTCTTAACGAGTCCTCAAATGGAAATGCAGAGCTATGCTTCCGAGGCTCAATAACGATCGTCTGCCACGATAAGCGGTAGCCTAGCTCTACTAGCGCGGATGTAGAGTTACCGAGACCTTGTGCGCTCCATTCGCTCGTGTCGCGATGCATCTCTAGGAATCCGTATAGTATTATACACGGTGTGTACGTCCCTGAGGAGTTGAAACCGGCGGGTGGAACTGGGACTTTGGAGTCATCTGGTGAGAAGACGGTCAAGTATGCACGGAGATGTGTGACTGTGGGGATGTAGACGACACGGATGTGCCGCGATGTGGCTACTTGGTACAGCGGAGAGGAGAGAAGCCTGTGTTGTTGCCTGGTCTGCTCTTGTTTGACATCTTGGATCTCCGGCGTAGTAGCAGATGTTGAAGTTTCCGCTGGATGTTCATCAGGAGCTACCCCGTCCGGATTAGCTGTCTCTGGAAGCACATGGTCCGAGAGAGACGCAAGGAATTCCAAGCGGGAAGAACATATAATAAGAGTAGTTGGATGGACGTGGTGGGTTAGGATATAAGTGAGAAGTTCAGAAGGTAGTGCCGGGGAGAGGAGTAGAAAGGGTGCCGAAGACATGGATATTGTGACTTCATAACGGCCATTACAAAAATCTCAACGATTAATACATGTCCGTATAAGTAAATGAACCTGCTTCCCGGGAAGGGGTTATAGGTGCATTGCGCCTACTACCCGCAACCTAATATTAGGTAACTATTGCACTATGTACCTAAGGTATATAGAACTAAGTTTAAAGGTTGCCCCATAAAAAGTCACTGGGGAAAAGTCACCGGGGAAAAGCCCCACCAAATGTTTAACACGGCTGCAACTGAAACTTAGCTTTCCTCTACCGACGTCACACACCTAAGAACACGCAGCCAACGCAACAGCTTACGAGCTGTCTGCCCGTCTTCACCTACGCTATGGAGTCTATCTCTCGAATATCCAATTTGCTTGAGAGCGGTGAGAACCCTATATTATCATATTATCTATTATCTTCTAAGGATACTTGACATAGCTTGACCGAGATAGACTAACCTCCCTCTCCGTAGCCCGGGAGCTCACTCTCGATGCGGCCCAAGCCGCCCGAAGCTCTCGTAGCACCACACGGTCTCTACCGACGGCGCAACTAAAGAAGCTTCTCGACAGCCGAAATGACCGTGAAGTGCTCGATGGACTGCGACGTGTTATTTCTGTACGCATTCACGCATGCTCTGTCCCCCTTGCCGACTGCTGGAACACGCCGACTGATCGATCCTACTTAACCAGATGATGTACCGCCAGCAGAAGACTCTCCCATTCTTTTCTTCCATCGTCAAGAATGTCGCGTCACCGAACCTCGAAATCAAAAAACTTGTATACATATATCTTATACACCATGCCGAACAAGAACCAGATATGGCCCTCTTGTCTATTAATACAATCCAAAAGTCTCTATCAGACTCGAATCCCCAAGTACGAGCACTTGCCCTGCGAACCATGTCCGGCATTCGAGTCCCTGTCATCAGCCAGATTGTATCCTTAGCTATCAAAAAGGGGGTAGTCGACATGTCCCCTCATGTGCGCAAGGCTGCTGCTCTCGCCATACCGAAATGTTACCGTCTAGAACCGAGCACGCTACCTCAGCTACTAGAATACCTGACAACTCTCCTAGGCGACAAGCAGTACTTTGTCGCCGGTGCCGCGGTCAGTGCCTACATGGAAATATGTCCCGACAGGGTTGACCTGATCCATAAGCACTACAGGAGTCTCGTCAAGAAGATTGTAGATATGGACGAGTGGAGTCAGCTGGCAGTGCTAAGAATGATGTCCATATACGCGCGGAAGTGCTTCCCGAGGCGGACGAAGACTGCCAGATCAAAAGACAAACCGGCCGATCTCCAGGACTTCTATGGGGAGGGTGAATCAGAACCTGCCTCGGAAGGGGAACGGGTAGTCATTCTCGATCCGGATCTTGTCCTATTACTTAATGGAATCAAACCACTTCTACAAAGTAGGAACTCGGGTGTGGTGGTAGCTGTGGCTCGTTGTTATGCGGACCTGGGTACACCTGAATACACCAAAGCCTCCGTCGGTCCGTTGGTCGCTCTTTTAAGGGGAGCACAGGACATTCAGCAGATCGCTCTATATAATATAGTATCTGTCTGTCTTGCGCACCCGGAATCATTCGTCAAATACGCCTCCCACTTTCTCGTCCGCGCTACCGATACAGCTCCAGTGTGGGAACTAAAGCTCGAGGTACTCGCACTAATATTTCCCCACAGCCCCTTGCAGACGAAGAGCCTCATCCTTAATGAACTCGAACACTTCTCTCGCGGGACGAATAAGTCGCTTGTTCGCGAAGCAGTGCGAGCTATTGGCCGATGCGCGCAAGCAGATCCGGCGACGGCACCCCGATGTATGCGACTACTACTAGGGCAAATAACTAGTCTTGACGGCACGCTAGCTGCCGAGTCCCTCACGGTAATCCGTCACCTTATCCAACAAGAACCTCAAGCGCATATGGGAACTGTTGTGCGCCTGGCGAAGAATCTCGACTCCGCAACCGACCCGCAGGCCCGCGCAACCATCATCTGGCTCGTGGGTGAATTTGCTGGTCTAAACGGCGAGGACAACATCGCGGCCGACGTGCTGCGAATACTTCTGAAAGCATTTGCGGAAGAATCCGAGATCGCTAAGCGGCAGATCGTCCTTCTCGCAGCGAAAGTCTACCTGCACCATCTCAACCGGACAGCGGAAGCGCAAAAGTCGGACCAGGAGAACAACGACCCCCCACCCAACTCAGAGGATCATCCTATAGCCCGATTATGGAATTACGTCCTCCTACTTGTCCGTTACGATACGTCATACGATTTGCGCGACCGCACGCGCTTATACAAAGCGCTGCTGAGCGTGCCCCAATTAGCAACGCTGATGTTACTTGCGCCTAAACCCGCACCTCAAGCGCCAAGTCCGTCAGAGACGCGTAAAGGGTTCTTACTAGGATCCTCATCATTAGTGCTTGCCGGAGGTGGAGGCGTGCACGGCCTACGAGGGTACGAGCCCCTACCGGACTGGGTTGAAGAAGGCAGGGAACCGGACCCGAAGCTTCGGGCTCAGGATGGCGTTCCGAACGAATATGGTGAAGAGAAGAGAGCTATTCCTGCGGCACGGACGCTTGGAGATTCTTCAATGGGAGCGCAAGCAGGTAGGAGCAATGGGCTCTCCACCTCAGCAGGTACAGGGGCTAAGACTTTAGATGATTGGCTCGCCGAGGACGAGGAAGAGGAGGCGGAAGATGAAGGCGAGGAAGACGCTGAGGAGGAAGAGGAGAGCGAAGAAGAGGAGGAATCAGAGGAGGAATCCGAAGAGGAAGAAGAAGAAGAAGAAGCGACCGATGAGGAATTAGACAACTCCAAAGCTGAGCTAGAAGGGTTCCTTAATAGGTAACATCAAACTTGCTTACTTCTTTGCATATCAAATAGAGCTATACAAATAGAAATGCATACCTAGGCACCAAGGGCATTGGGACTGGCTACATAGAACCAGGCATTGCTAGGTCTCTTTTTTTGGCTGTCTGCCTAGAAAGAATCATGGAAAAATCACCTACATATCTGATTACCATGCAAAGAATTACCGTGCGCAATTTTCCAAACACTTTTCAATTATGGGACTTGCTATTTCACGTTAAGAAAGTGTCACTTTGAGTCGAAAGTTGTATGTAGGCGTGTAATATTAAAGAGGGTATACAAAACCATGGATATCTAGGATAATTAGGTAGAGCTGTCTATATCATCGCAAACCAAACGCTATACATATGCAAAAAGTAAGCCAACCAGGCGGGCGAAACAAAACACGCAACTGGTCGTACGTCTAATTCCCAAAATAGCAGCAATAGATCATAAAAATGAAGAAACATTAACGTCTTATACGCTAAGAGCCTTCTGCTCCATCTGATGTTCCTCGTCGCCGGACGTGATGGGTTCCTCGCCAGCTACCTTATCCCCCTTGTTCCCCCTCCTGAAGCGCCGGGCTTCCCGCTCAGCCATTGCCGGGAACAGGAAGCCTGGCGGGAAGGCGGTTAGGAGGACGACGGGGATGATGATGCAGCTGTTATTGCGTTGTTAGTGGACGGCTCTCGGATAAAGCTAGGGTTGGAAGGGGAAAGGGGGGGGGGGAGGGAGTTAAGAAGGTAGATAGATAGGTAGGTAGGTAGGTAGGTAGGTAAACACTTACAATCCCTCAAGCACAATAAACGACGGCTCGTCCTGCATGATCTTGTTCCCCCATCCTCCCGCCATCTCGGCAATTCGGTAGATACACCGTATCAGAATGCCCGCGTACGCACCCGTCACCGCATAGAAGAACATGCGAAACTTGCGGTCGTTCCACATGGCCAGGGCCTGGGGCGTCGCGTGGCCGCTGGCCACCCACGTCTTGGTGCGGAGGTAGTAATCGACGCACAGGACGCCGAAGCCGCCCAGCACGGCGGACTGCAGGGCGATGCCGGCGATGATGACGCGGTCACCGGAGAGCAGGAGGTTCGGGTTGTCGTAGCCGGCGGAGGCGGCGAGGCTCCCGCCGATGGCTTGCAGGATCAGGCACGACACGTCGGCGGGGACGAAGATCAGCGGGTATAGCCGGGGACGCAGGCGTGAGAGCTCCGGGTTGATGGAGAGGGTGACGTGCTTGAGGGTGAGGTAGATGGAGATGCAGATTAGGGTTGGCGCGAGGATGATGGCGCAGATTTGCGTCTGGAAGGCGCCTGAGTCCCAGGGGTTGTCGTGGAGGAGGACGCGCGCGATGTAGCCTGGGTTTTGGAGGTTAGTATGGGTATACTATATCATGTATCTATATAAGAGACTGGCTGGGCTTGGATGCTTGACGGCTTCTTATATTGCAAGCCCGTGGGGCGAGGGCAGGACGGAACATACCTGCAAACTCCAGAACACATCCCGCGGTGAGGGCAGCGGAGTAACCCCAGGTCCTCTTCCAAATACCGGTGACGACGAGGCCTATGATGCATAGGCCAAACGCAGCGGCGAGAAAGGCATTGACGCCGAGGTTGGGATAGTATCCCAGAACCGTAGCCTGGACCGGGCAGTAAGGGCCGACTTCAGTGCAAGATCTGAACGATACGTGGTGCGGCGCATCCGTAGTATTTGACATCTTGAAAGTCGTCGAGCTGGACGGGCCGTATAATAACTCGGTATGAATTCACTCTTTTCACTTCTTTTCTTTGTTCCCCCCCTTTTCACTTCAAGATATCAATTCTTTATAACAGCAACCACCGCCCAACGTCCAGCAGTTGAGCTAACCTTTTTTCGGTTTGTTGAATGGCTAGCCAGACCTCGGAAGCAAGCGCTTGGATAATCCAAATCACCGGAACGTATCGCCAACAGGCAAGCTATAAAATAAAACGAACCGGAACGAAATTTAGCGAGAGGCGCTATAGCTCGGAGCACTGTAGAATACCGAAGGTCGAAGTATATCCAGGGAACAAGAGATCAACCTGATATTAACGACCCAGCAGCGCGGTACTACAGATATAAAAGGAAAAGTATGGAAGGGGAGAAAGAAAGAAAAAAAGGGTCGTGGGAGCCTCGTGGGAGTACATATCCCAGGCGATCTATCTCGCGCCATGGGCACGGCAATCTGATTACCGCGAGCATCATCGGTGGGGATGGGGGAGGCGAGGTTACCTACTTACCTACTGTAAGCGGGAACAAAGAGTGAGTGAGTGAAAGGAATACCTACGCAAAGATACCTAGTGTAAGGATCCGGTGCGGAATCTGATCGGACACCATAGGAATACATACACCCAACGAGGAGGTTACTAAAAGCGGAAAAAGGACGAGAGAGATACCTAGGTTAGGTGGGTGGGTTTACTGGCTGCGCTTAAGCGATCTGACAAGACCCTCCGCTCCCCCCCATGTGGGCTTCTAGAACGCCGATGCCCAGCTCGGTTGCGCTGCCGAGCTGACGAAACGACCTGCCCAGCTCCGAGGGCCAGGGCCAAGGTTTGTGTTGTCATGTGTATTGTCGAATGGGCGTTTAACATAGACGTACCACCTAGTTATTCGCTCTAAAGTATAAGCGTGATCGAGCAGAGAGTCAGGTAAGTATCGTCATCATCATGACTAAGTCACCGCTATCCTAAAGAGAGTTATGGAATTAGATTAACCTAGAGAGGGGCCCGATGGACCCCCCAATCTTTGGGCGGAAGAGGCCTCATCCGGGACGCTACGGCGTTAGTTCCCTTCTCCGGGCGCCATCCGGGTCATAGCGCCGGAACGTACCTTGATCCATCATACTACAAGAAATATAGACCTGATCTCATAGATATATCTCGGATAAGCGATTAATATCAGATCTAATAACTACAGGGAAGATATATTAATCCCTTCTTCACTTTATCAAATTAGGCCAGATCAGATCAGATCAGATCAGTTTAGATGGTATGTTTAAATTAGGTCTTATTCCTTACCACCTAAGAATCTATATATGACAGAAAAGTCTCTGCCTTTACACGTTTCTACTTGCTCAGCCTCTTCGTAGACTTGCCTTGCTCGATCGCCAAGTTCTAACTTCGCATTGGCTTCATTTGCGGCTACAATGGCAAGCTTCAGATCCTTCTTCATTAGACTAATACCAAACCCGCCAGAATAGTCACGGCTAGCTGGTGCGCCTTCAACAACTCCTTTTACCGGATTATTGACTTCGCTTGGCCAGCATTTGCCAGTGCTAACATTGATGATATTGGCTAGCGTCTTAGGATCGAGACCCCATCTGATGCCTAAGTTCATCGCTTCTGCTGTTGCGATATTGTTGATGGCAAGCAAATAATTATTGGCTAACTTAGCGCTCAGTCCATTGCCTTGCACGCCGCAGTGCAATACTCGTTTTCCCATCCGTAGCAATATCGGTTCTAGCTTTGGTACTAGAGCATCGGGAGCGCCCAGCATGAAAGTCAAAGTACCTGCCGCAGCGCCTACTACACCACCCGACATGGGAGCATCAACAAATTGGCCTTGGTTGGCATCGGCAACCCAACCTGCAACCTCCCGGGACGACGAGGGATCAATAGTTGAGCAATCGATATATATCCTGTTCTTCTTTGGCAAACCCGGGGATAATATCTCTCGATACACGCCCTTCACATGTGCCGGCTCAGGTAACACCGTAATTACTATATCCTATCAAGACTCAGTTAGCATTGGAAGCTAACACGATCTTGAAACTAAATTAAATAATGGGTAAGTTCTTCAGAGGATTGGCTATAAAAAAGAATTAATCATAAAAGAAACCGGCAAGCCGGCCCCAACTTAGATCATTGATAGAACATAATCATCATGTGAACGAAAACTGAAATGAAGCTAATTAAGGGAACAATAGACACATACCGAGTCCTTTGCAGCGTCATTCACATCGTGCGCGAGTTCAACTGCAGCGCCACCAGTCTGAGATGTCCACATCTCCTCAGCTAGCCGTTTCACCGCATCGCCGTTGATATCGAACAACTTGACCGAATCACTCGGCGGGAGTTTCGCCTGTAAATTCTTGGCCATCTGGTACCCCTAAACCCGTATCCATTAGTTTATCCGTCATAGCACAAGCCGCCAAAACGAAGCTTTCCAACTCATGACGTACCATTTGCCCCAACCCAACGAACCCATACCTCTCCAACCGTCTTTGCGAAGCCGAGAAGGCCCGTCTCTGGACTTTAAAAGCATTCCGTGCAGCGGTGTGAACTCTCATCATGGTGGAAAGAGGTAGCGTGTGCTGAACAATCCCAGCCCCAAGTGAAAACAGCCAACTGCAACGATGGACATAAGAGAGGCGCGGTAGAAAAGTCAATTGGAGACGGGTTCGGGTTCGGGTTCTCCAACTCTCTCTCCAAAGCCCTGAACACCCGCGGGGTGCCGAGGACCGCAGAACCGACCATTGCCGGCCAAAATCTTAGGTTAGAAGGTCAAGTCAAGTGACCTCGCCTCAATAAGACAAAAGCCAAAAACAGCCTGCGCCGCGCACATCGCGTCTGTGAGGGTTACCTAGGTAGGTATGCGTTGTTCAATCCATTACACCAGCTCTGCAGACATCCATCTTTCTAGAGGTCTCCAATGCGACTATTGGGCATTCCGTTTCTGAATGCTACGCCTCTGCTGGGGTTGAAAATTGGAATTGGAAAAAAAAACGAGAATAAAATGAGATTGCGAAATTTTTTATTCTCATTTCAGAATAATTAAAAGCTTGGGCCATCGGCTAGAGATGGTGGGTCCCTGTCGGCCTTTTTGGGCGTAGTTAACGCGGAATGTTAAGTCGCTTAGTTCAAGGATCAAGTCACTATCAGATGAGCCGCGTTTAGCACCAGGGTTGTTGTACCACATCTACCTTAACTACCTAAACCTATCTAACCTACATGCAGCTGGATATAAGTAGATATAATATGGATATTTATCATAGGTAATCAAGCACATTCCTTTCCATATCACGAAGACTACAATTCCGTCATGCCGAGATAAGCTTCTTTGTTGATATCATTCTTTGTCGAGTTAGGCACTTATAATGACCCTCCTCGTTACTTCGTAGTTCTACAGAAAATTCTATTCCAAACTATTTGAATCATCATCTCTTAAGGAGCCGCCAACCTTAAAAATGTCACAAACACGAGTGAACGAGTGAATTTTCTCTTTTTCATTATGAAGTTCTCGGGACCTGTAGTGTAGGAGCAGAGCCATCTCCCCTTTCCTGAGAGACCGCCAAAAGGGGATGTGATGTATACATGAGCCATTGCATATAGCTACGCGAAATCAGAATCTGAACAACCGGTTCTGACCAACTGTACGAGGGGTATGTGCAAAAATAACAAACAAGTAACCGGGCTTCCCCACCAACAAAACCCAGTAAAATAATCCAGATGATACGGGATCGTGAGGACGATATGAGGGGATACTAAAAGACTAAACAACTGTAGGGCCTGGAGCTGAACGTGCGAGGGTAGTACTAGGCTAGAATACGCCCATGACGTACGGGATTAGGGCACTGGAAAAGATGGTTAGCTTACGAGACGGTTTGAATTCCACTATAGTCTGGAAACTTACCCAACTGCGAGGGTCGCGCTAAGACCGACGAGCGCCCGGTTCCTGACGCGCTCCTTTCTCAACTGCACCTCCGTCTTCACTTTCTTAGACCTCGGCTCCTCTGATTCTTCGGCTTCTTCTTCTTCTTCTTGTTCCTCCTCGTCGTCATCGACAGCGATCTCGTCAGCCTTTCGTTTGCTCTTATTGCTGTTGGAACCAGATGACGCTGCAGTCTCAGCAGCAGCGATCCTCACCATCTCCTTCGCCTCTTCGATCATTCGAGTAGCCTCTTCGACATCAGGTTCTCCACTGAGGGGAATTTCCACCTCGACGGCAGTTTGTGTTGTTTCGACACCACCATGGAATTCAACTTCCTGGCCAACCTTGATTTGCACCTTGGCTTCTTCCTCGGCAGGCGCGAAGACAATAGCTGGTTCCTTTTCGATGGTCTTAATAGATACTTCCTCGGTGGCAGCAATGGACTCGGCGTCCTCATCCGTCTTCGAACCGTTCGTAATGGGCTTAGCTTCTTCTTTCAAGGACGGAATTTCGGTAGGTAACTGAGGAGTAGAGGCCTTCGTAGCCCGCTTTCGCGGAGATGCGACAGCTCGTTTCTTTGAGGGGCTGGCTGAGCGACGGCTGCGCGTGCTACGGGGAAGTGATGATGGAGTTGGCGGTGCAAGGAGAGGCTGGGCTGGTAAAGGAGCTTCGAATTTTGGTGGTGCGGCGATCTTCTTGGGAGGGCTGTCAGGCGCACTCGTAATAGCGATTTCAGCCGGGTCCAGGAGCGCACAGATCCAAGGAGTGATTCGATACTCCTCGGCAAGAGCCAAGGCTTGCTCGGGAGGGATCCAAACATTCCCAGCAGTCTCCTCGTGGCTCGTCGTGGGTAGCGACTTGATGAATTTGCGCTCCATCTCTTCTTCTATGGCCTCAGCATAGGGGAAAGTCGCCTTGAACATGCCAGTGGCAGAGACGAATCCATCCTGACTGCGGCGCATGAGGAAATACGAGTTCGGAGAAGACTTGAAGATGCCCGAGATGATACCCTTCGGCAAGGGAGCCCGCAGATGCGCATAGTCGAAGACCCCAAGACTAGTAGGGTCGATATCTCCCGCGGTGCCGGCTGCAACCATCTTCGCGGTCAATTGGGTCTGGCCCAAGCGTCGACGTGAAACGAGCTCATAATCTGTAGAACGAGTAAGCGATGCGAGTTAACAAAAGCTACCTAGACACGATGCTTCATACAAGGAGGAATATCCTCAGTCATAAGAGGATTATGTTTGTTAGGAAGACGTCTCGAAGCAGCCATTTTTGGGGCCTGTTGGATAAGACGCGACCGAAATTAAGGTATGCGATAGAGCCTCGCGTCGATTGAAACCGCGACGAGCGATCAGATTCAAATGAGGGTAGTATTAAAAGAGGTAGGTAATGAAAACTGAGGCTGGTTACTGGATTAGCAGGTTTTCGTTATCGAATCGCGCAGAAATGCGATGCGATGCGATGTGAAGTCGCGGGTCGTCGCCATAGAAGCGCGAACTTAGGGCTGTCGAATAGGCGGGTCGCCAGGATGGATCTCACTCACGTTATGCAGACTTGCGTCAGGAAAAGAAAGCTATTATAATAAAAAGGGTACACCAGTATTCGAAATCCTAGTTAGTTGGAAATTGAAATAACAGGTTATGAATCTTTGGCCACAAAAAACATTTAAGGGGACAGGTTGATGTAGCTGTAACACCCGGCGCAAAAAATAGGGTTCCTCTCTCGAATTTGAGGCGGGTTGTTAGGAAAAGGACAAGGTCAGAGGGAGAGAAGGGGAGAAAGCCGGGGGGGGCTTCGTTCGACTTCGCACTGCAAGTTAGAGCTGCTGTCAGCAACGGTGATTTGACCAGTAGTCGCGAAATAGGAATTGATGAATTACCACGACGGGTTTAGTGGACCCGTTTTTATAAAGTATAATCCAATGGGAAAAGTCTATTGCGGCAAGGCCTATTAACTCCTCCTTAGTACGAATATACGAAGAAGGCACGGACCAGCACCTCTTCTGGAAGACCAGTACGGGGTACATACGGATGCACCCACTATATCACCGAAGAGGAAATTGCTTTTCCACGGTGCATTAATACTATTACTGTGCATATTGATACTGTGTTTGCTTTGATACTCTATCCAATTATCCCCTGCCTTGCCTGTTTGTTACGATACGTGGTAGCGTGTGTATTGTATTTTATAAGCCCTAAAGAGCTTGAGGACCAAAAGATGTAAAATAAGGAAGCTCCCTAGTTCGTCAATTTATATCAAATCCAAGCTAAGTCACGTATTTACTTGTCTAGATATGTATGGCTAAATCATTACTTATAACTATAACAGGTAGTTACTGTATATTTAACTACCTAATCAACCTTAGGTAGTCCATCAGATTTATAGGTATAGTCTAAGCTGCATCTTCATCTCTTTTATACTCATAATGAGTACTAAGTTAGGTTAGAAAGAACTAAACTTATAGATGAATTACCTGGCTTACCCCTTTAACTAAGTACCCTTTACCCCACTAGATTACATATGTAACTCTTAGGATGTAGCTTGGTGATTCATCATGCCTAGGTATGCAAAAGAATCAACATAAATAATTAAAGTCTTAACCTAGCAACTTAGAAAAGGTCTTCACTTTTAATAAACCATATGGTATATTTGTTGTGATCCATTATTATAATATGTGCCACGCAGGCGTGCATGCTATTATGTGAGCGTATCGAAGTTGTTGGATGGAGAAAGAAGCACGATGGTACCATTATCTGACATAGCTGACCATAGCCGGTTTGGCCAATATTATAACCCTTACTCCAAGTTGTGATATCGGGCATCATCAAGTACGGGACGGGGGTATCACTAACATCACTAACGCACGCATCACGCATGCGTAGGTTAGGCAAAGCACGGTTTTAAAGCACAATAGCATGTCTAATCTAAAAGGCCTCAGGGGAGCAAGACAAGACAAGACAGGAAAGCCCCTCTCAAAGCCACTGGTGCACCTTTTTTTTTTTTAGCCCCGCCGCGCTTGAGCTGCACATGCAGCTTCTAGGAGCCACAAAATTGGCCAGAAGCCCCAAATTCTGTAACATCGTGTCCAACCCACCTTCTTTATATCAGATCGACATAGAAATCCCACTTAGGTACATATATTTCAAGTACTTACATAGCGTAGCCTGATAGCCTAGTTACACCCCTCTAGAGTCAAAGATACAAAGTCTCAAGGTACAAAGCCATCACCGCCAGTCTACCTACCCCTCCTAATCAATATTTTATCGCCCGTCGACATCATCTGTTATTGTTATTTACATCTTTCCAAAACAATACTTGAAAAGCAATACTTGAAAATACACTTACTCTTTCAAAGCAACTTGACTTACTTTTTTGCAGTAGAGCATCATCAAAATGGCATCTCAAGACGATAATGATCACTTGCCCGAGGAGACTCAGGGTTACAAGCTCTCTCAGCCTAAGCAGAGCTTGGCCGAATATCAGAATATGGGTATGTATAAAGGCTTCTTTTTTTCTTTACTTGGTCTTGCCGTGCCTTCATAATTCCCGTCTATCATTCCCTTCACGTTACTCCAGAGATATCTGTGTTTTATAGGCACAGAACAGGTGGGATGGAATTGAGTTTGGTAAGGGCTAGATGAAAAAAAAAGGGGGATGGAAATAGGACGAAGTTCACGACACCGACTTTAGACGCGTCTCTTAAAAAAACGCGAGAAGAAACATGGTCTTGAAATTGTTTGCTTTCTAAGGCTGGAGCCTAAGTCAGTCAATTTGACACTTGACTGTTAAGAAATTTCCAATCGTCGACAGTGACTATGGGAATTTTCAACAACCCACATCATACGGGACAGGCCCTTATCTACAAGTTTGCCATACCAAAGGACCTTTTTTCAGCAACACCAAGATCTCAACCAAGACTCAACTCTCTCAATCAAATCACATCATCCGATGCATCAACACATTTGCTCTCAATATGGATGCATACGCAACCTGTCCGCGACCACTTGGGCGTGCTGCCCCTCAACGCGTTGGGTTTGTTCGACGTATGGTCTCGATGCCGCTCATGAAGCAAACTCATGATACGACATACTCGTCTGGTTTCCATCGACTTTCAGAGGAGGACCTAGATGACCGTTTTGCGGAGCATTGCCCACCGGTTACAACGCCTCCCATTATTCCAGAGTATGACAATGCCCATACCAAACAATCCCCCAAGGAGTACCTAAAGGACCAGCTTCAAATTAGCACGACCAAGTCCAGTGATGGTGCGAGTGCATCACGGTCTTATAAAAAACCCCGTCTGCGCATGGATTTGTTAAACTGGTTTAAGGAGAAGCACACGCTGAAATCCAAGAAACACCTTTCTACATCCTCATCTGGGAGCGGACTTGATCCGGCCATGACATGTAGAGGATTACCGAGCATGATGCTTGATGAGGAGATCACGCTCATAAATTCATCAACCAACTCTTCTCCCATTTCACCATCCTTCACTACAACTTCACAAACACTCCAACAGACCAGGTCACAAATTAGTGATAGAAGGGATTCATCTAATTCGAATAACCTTGATATAGATGCCAACGACGAATCTCTCCAGCGCTATAAGCAGTCCCTCGGTCTAAGCGGCGGAAAAGATCTATCCGATCCCAACGACCCTCGAGTTTGCATCATTCACTCTCTAGCTATGGAGTCGTCAGGCCGTGCTCCCGTCATTATCGACCTGTCTGCTCCCGGTAGCGAGAGCACCCTCAAGGACCACCCCTTCAAGATTAAGGAGGGCAGCAAATTCACCATGGTTGCCACCTTCAAAGTCCAGCACGAAATTCTCAGCGGTCTCCAGTACGTCCAGGTTGTCAAGCGCAAGGGTATCAAAGTCAGCAAGGATTCCGAGATGCTGGTAAAGTCTACTTTGAGAACTATTCTCAACCTAACATTTGCTGCTCGATTACTAACACATCGCAGGGAAGCTATGCCCCAAACACAGATAAGCAGCCCCTATACAGCAAGCGCTGTGAGTATCCCTGATCTGAAAATTGACTTCCCAGATGATCTGATCTCCCAATAGTCCAAGAGGAAGAGGCTCCTTCCGGCATGCTTGCCCGAGGCCACTACAACGCCACTTCCAGCTTCGTCGATGACGACAAGAAGACTCACCTGCAGTTCGAGTGGAGCTTCGACATCAGCAAGGACTGGTAGATGCGGTAGCCGTCTACTCCACGGAGGGAAAAAAACGTGTTATCTGACTGAATGATGACGACCACGACAATAGAGGGAAGACAAAACGTCCAAAAAATTCAATGGAATAGTACTCTTCGACCTAGACGGTTCGGCTAGCTGGGGACTAGTACTTATGCTTATAGGGGACGGATAGTTGAGTGTAGATAGTTCATCTCTTGAGCATTTTCTTTGCTCTACTAAACAATTATGCCGCAACTTGCAGTTCTTTTTCAATACAACATCCAACAAAATGATTTCTTCCTTTCGAGCCTTTGATGGCGACGGGTCTATGTAGATGAATACGACGGTTGAAAAGGGGGTATTTTCTTATTCTCCTTCCTCCTACCACCATATATCGAGGTATCTTTATGGCATGCCTACCACCTGCTTGATAAGCCTGCTTATACAAATCCGGACCGGCCAATGGATATATTCTTATAAGAAATAATCCGGCAGCGCATTTCCATCGGATGTCTTCTCTCCTCCCTGTTGTATTTCCTTGTGCTGGTCATTTTCGGGCGCGGCCGCGAACACGTTGAAGAAACGCTCCCCAGCATCACTGACTTCGAGTACGCTAGCCATATTACCGCACCGGTAGCAGTAGTTGGGCGCGCTCCACACCGTGCTCAGCTGGTCGTCGTAGAGGACTTGGAATCCTTCCTGGCAGAGCTGGTGCGCGCGTAATATATGGTTCATCCCGTTTACTGCCAGGAATTTCTTGACTACCCGCGCGCCGAACTGATAGCCTGCCCCGCGGGGCGATAATGAAAATTCGTCTCTCTCGGGATCTGGGTCGGACCATACTAAGTCGGCCATTGGGCCCTCGTGCGGTATCTCCCGGAACCGGTCGATGATTTTGATCTGGTCGATGGAATGGATCGAGGGGGAGAGACCGCCGTGCACGCAGAAGATCTGGTCGTTTATAACTACTGAGAGGGTGAGGAAGTCGAACATGTCTGTGAAATAGTGCCAGACGTTTGCGTTCCCGTATTTGCGCGAACACTCGGTATAGAATCCATAAGATTGTGTTACGCCGCGCGACTCGTGGTTGCCCCTGATTAGGTGTACGCGGTTAGGGTACCTTAGCTTGAGGCACACGAGTAAAGATATAGTCTCGACGCTGAACATGCCGCGGTCTACATAATCGCCTGGAATACCCGCGAGAGTTAGAACGATGACAACTTTATGGCAGTTCGGTTGCATCACTTACCGAGAAATAAGTAGTTCGTATCCGGACACCAACCGCCGATCTTAAATATCTCGATGAGGTCGTAAAACTGGCCGTGGATATCACCGACGACGGTGACGGGGGCCCTGACGTGGACGACGTTGCTCTCTCGCATGAGCAGTTCTTTCGTCTTGGCACATATCGCCTCGATCACAGACTCGGCCAAGAGTTCTTTCTTATACAGGCGGGATATGCATTCATCCAGATCGACCGAAGCTATACGGCGGCGCACAGGTCAGACGAAAACCCCAGTTTGCATATATATATATATATATGTGCTTGTAATAATGTACGGGCGGGACCAACCTGGAAGCCCAGGCATGTTGGGCGGCTAGAGACGCAGATGCAACTCGAGGACAGCAACAACAGGTCGGTCTGTTCAAGAAGCGGGTTGTGGGCGACTGCGCGGGGCGGGCTTCCTTCTGCTCCGGGGAAAGGCAAAGTCGTGTGGGGAGCTAGAAGAAACCGCAAACATATTCGGAGGAGGCAGGGTATTCGGCGCCTCGCATGGGGAGAGAGGATGGATGGAATGTAAGTTGTCGCGGGACGGGAGGAAGGGGTTGTTGCCGCGCAAGGAAAGTGAAATTCGACCTCAGAGTACGTACCGAAAAGCGAACTCTTTCAAACCCTCCGTAAGGAATGAATAGGTACATACCATATCTTTTGGTGTTGAATCAAAAGCCGACAATGTGGGATAGCTGCTAGTCTCGGATGCGATGTCGACTTGGTTATTGGTTGGTAAGCTATCGTTTATCGCTTATCCCTTATCGCTCACTTCTACGCCACCCCCCCCCCCCCCCCCATGGGGCCATGGGCCATGGCAAAAAAAGAGCCGCGTTTGTGCGGGTGAGACTTGTTGGGCTAGGGGCTTATACAGTAGCTGTCATGTGCATCTTAACCCTATTATATCCATATCGTGTCTATATGCAAAACCTTGTCTCTATATGCAATATATATATAAGATTGGTACCCGTGCTTGAAATCGTCTGATTAGATTTTCTGCACTTTCAACTTCTCTTCTTTTTTCCTTCCCTATAGTTTCCCCCCCCCCAACTTCATCCTATGGTTTTCTATCACTTCCGTGTCTCGTAGCAATTTTTTTCCTACAGAAAAAGCAGCTGGTTTGCGCAGGCTGCTTATTACTTGATACATTTGCTCTATACGGTTTGATTTTGGGAGTTCGTAGTAGAATACCCAGCTTTTATTCCTTTTCTGCTTGTTTTTTTTTCGGCCTGGACTCTGGTGATTTTTGAGCCTTCATCGTTCAGGGAGCTGGGCTTTCTAATTTGGTGTCCGAATACTGATTTGTATTCAATCTTTTTCGTCCAGGCCTTCATTAGGAATAATGATATTTGGTAGTTTACCTTATGGCAAGTTAAGGTGTTGAGAATGGATGGAGCACGCAAAGTTGGTTCCTAAACAGCTTGGGCCTTATGTCGGTTCACCTATGTTTTATTTTCTAGACATCAAGGCCTACCTGTTGGGAGAGTCGTCATCAAATACCATATCTTCAATACCAAGACTTTCTTATGTTTGATGTTTGATATCTATCATCTGGCCTGGAGCCTACAAGGCTAGCCTCATGGCGTTGTATTATTGTCTTACAATAGAATTCTTTTGTCCTCATCTGAGATTAATTGCCTTTATCTTAGACCGTGACCATTTACCCGCTCTTTTCACGTTTTTTTCTATCTCTTGTAGTGTCTTATGTGCGTAGTCTAACTGAGGATTCTAAAAGTCGTGAAGCAACGTGAAGCAAAGTGAATCACGTCCGTACCTATTTCTAGTACTTCTAGTCTACGGCGCGGTCCGAAGTTTAACCGCTACCGCTTTGCCGCTTTGGTGGTGGTACCTTAGGTACCTAATGGCCGCGATGCCTTGTACCTTTTCTTTTGAACATTTCAATCTCACCCGTGAAACCTTCACTTTCAGCCCATCACTATTGATATTTATGTCGGGTATATCGAGCATCAATACCCCCCCCACTGATCATATCAAGCTTGGATTGCACTTCTATCGCAAATACAGAGCATCCTTGATGAATTTGCAACAATTATTTCCGCGTCATCGGAGTGGAGGGACTTGTATTGGTGGTGGTCTTTGCTTTGTCGCGGTGAGAAGCTGATCCCATAAGTTTGGCTCAACAAGGCAACTTATACCCAGGATCAAGCACCTCGCTATTCATCGCGTAATCCTTATATCTCTCTTATATCCATGAGCCGCGCCTAATTGACTCTATTCTCGAACCTCAGATGACATTGCCAACTGTCAATTTCTCTTGCCCCGCGTATGTTAGGTCTTGTCGCGACAAACTCACGTTTCCTTACTATATGATGTTGAAGACTTACTTCTATCTCAGCATGATAATCATATCCTAGAGCCTCTTAGAGCCTTAAGTACAGCAAAGCCTCGCAATCTGTAGATACGTACATGTCCGCTTTACGAAGTTTATAAACTTTGCTCTTTGCCGTTGCGCTCAGGCGCTTGGCAATTCACCAGCTTCGCTTCGTTGCCAACTACATTCTATACATTCTATATTAAGAAGACACGCTTTCACTAGCACACTGTCACTCTCGATTCTTCTTCCCATTATTCTATTAAAATGGCCCAAGTTGCCCCGGGTCTTGTGCCAGACCATAACGAACGGCCCTGTTATAATTGTGGTATACGGGGCCATATGTTCACTGCATGTCCTGAGGAGCCTCGGAAAGTGCCGGCGTAAGTAATCATGGCTCTCTATCTTGATCACGCGCTTGATTTTCCCCTCCACCTCATTATCCACGATTATACCGACTAAAAATATGTTAGTGGATTAGAGGCCTCCTGGGCGCGACAACAGTCGAGCAATAGTCCTCGTAATGATAGCTTCGTGTCCAACAAGCGAAGTAAAGGACCGGTAATTACGCGCTACCCCCCTCCACCTCCTCTCGCTTCTTCTCACCCGACACCTCCATTGCCTCGTTTCGAGAATTCTCCGCCTCAGCCCTATCATTCGGGTCCAATCCCGATCCCGGGCTATCCTCCGCCACCATCTTACGGTCCTGGGTTCGGAAGTCATCTGCCGCCGCCGAACCCATCCTATGATAGGTATGGACCTCCGGGACCACCGCCACCTGGCCCTCATCAGCCATTGAATCCTCCGGTTTACCAAGGCGCCTACAATTCCGCGTATGGTCCACCAGGCCATATCCCCGGACCCTATGATCATCACCATCATCATATTCCCCCTCCTGGACGTCCTAATCAGTATTTCCCCAATGACTACCCCCCTGGTCCTCCTGGCCAGCCTAGCCAGTACCCGCCCAGTCAACATCCCGTGGGTCCTCCGGGTCCGCCAGGTCCTCCGTATGGCGCGCACCAGCAATATCCACCCGGGCCTCCACCACCACCATATGCGCCGCCGCCCAGTTTCGTACCTCCGCCTACCCCATACGGGTTTCAGGGACCACCTCCGGGATATCATCAGAGTGAGTATAGCCCACCTCGGCGTGATCCTCCGGCCATTTTCCAACCATATCCACCGCTTGATCCTTATCCTCCGCAATACGGGGATGACAGAAATCGCTACGAGCGCGGTCGGGATCACCAGCGCCGTTACGAAGATAGGCGTCCAAATGAAGCTTGGCATCCTCAAGACGCGTGGCACGGTTCGCCGCCATCAAATGGCCAACCGTATAGAGATGAATACCGCGATGACTGGCATAGCAAACCCTCATACCGAGATGATCGACCTTCTCGTAGGCGGGGGCATGGTAAGTCTCAAGATGAGCGGCGTCGAGAGCGTCAAGATCGCCAAGACCGGTTTCAGCCTTATAAGAATTCAGACAAGTGGGATAAACATCACCGACGAAAGCACCAGCCAGCAACGACTCCAAGCGAACCAGTGCGCCGCGATAGGAGCTCTTTGGATAGAGAAACGCCAATAACGGCTAAAACAGATCAGGAGCCTGAGCCTGGCGAGATAGTATCTGAGCCAGCTTCTGCATCCGACCATGGTGACCCGGAGACAACCGTCGACACAACTAAAGATGAGAGCAATGAAGATTTTACTTGGGATGAGCGGACCATATTTCTAGAGCTCCCGCTAAGTAGCAAGGTAGACCCGATTGCAGCACCTTTACCGGCGCAATACTTCGAGGATATAATGATACCTCCAGCATTCGACGCTAAGGCTTTGAAGTCGCGGTACATCACGCCGCGTAACGTTGATGATTTTGCGCAAAGCATCCGCGAAACTCGGGATTGGCAGGTAATGCAGCATCATCCTATGTTTTTAGACCCGACGGAAATTCGGCTTGAGAAGTTAGATGATTACAATAAGGCAATTCAGAAGGACCTGAATATTAAGGGCAGTCGCCGAGATCGCTCTGGAAACTCAAACGACACTGGCAGACATCGCTTCAACAATTCGAAAGGACCAGGCCGACACCAGGGAAAATATCAAGATTCACACTACAAATCAGATCAAAAGAAGAGGAGATGGACCGATTTCCACGACGACACCGATGACTTCAAGTCAGAGAGGCGTCACCGTGATTATCCATATGATGATCCATCCAACAAGAGGTTGAAATTTACATCGCCACCCGAACCCGGCGAGTTAGTCGAGGCCGATTCTCAGCAACCCCCTTACACGCCCTCAAAGGCGCCTGTTGTACCTACGGATGATGCCAAATGGACCCAAGGGCCAAAAGAAACTCTGGATAGCCAATCGCGACTTGAAAGTCTTGATAATAGGACCAATGGATCAAATCAAGAAACTGTAGCCCAGCATATTAATCTATCGCTACCAGATGATCGGGATAAGGCTAATGCGCGGCCGTCAACACCGTTAGGCCAGACAGTGGACATACCCCAGCCACATAGCCGGCCATCGAGCAGACAGAGTTCTAGAAGCGTCAACAGAAGTCGCCCAGCCAGCCGACGCTCTTCATTCGGAACTGATATATCTGAGTCTCAAGGATCGCCACTTGATCCTATCGAACGCGAACTACTAGGGCTTGGGCGACCTTCAACCAGTGGCACGGATAGTGGAGGAGAGTCAACAAAGAGGCAGTTGAGCGATACAACGCCCAAATTCAAGCGTCGACAACCTACGCTTGAGGCGTACTCGTAAGCTGCCCCTACGCTCCCCCCGTTTACTTTTGATCACTAATAGGACTTAGGCGTCGTTGGTAACGATATAATATCGAAGAGTTTCACAATGATAAAGACATTTGTTCTATACGAATCATGGGGCCGTACAAGATTTCCATTCAAGGATAATGTGTTCTAATGGGAGCTAAGACGCTTCTTGGAGTCCTTCACCAGCACAATGATGTATGAGGTACGACTTGGTACGAGTAAGCATCTGCTGCTTACCAACACGATGACTCTAATATCATACCCATAGTATACTAAAGTCACGGCTTGAAAATTCATGCATAAAACATAACACAGTTCCTATTCTTAGGGGGGAGGGGGGGTAGATGTACATAGCGGTGGGGTGGAAGGCGTTTTCTATAGGTGCATTGGATAAGGTGGGAAAGGTCTGCAAAGTCCCAAAGGTGTCCGGAGCCTTCATGTTTTATTTTCAGCGAATGTATGATGTACCAATACTGTATACAGGGCCACGAGTGGTTGGCTGTACATTCATTGGAAATTCAAACTGGGAACAAAGCCCAGGTATAATGAATTCTGAATTTCACAGCAGCTAGCTATGTATAATTAGCTTGTAATGACGAATACCTAAATTCTGTGGCAATATTACCGAAGTTCTTTTCTTATTGTCTTAAGTTGTAACAGTTGTTCGTGGCTCTTCTATTAGTTACTCCAACATCGGTCTTTATCCTTCAGTTTCACCAATACATTATACAATCGTGTCTCTCTGTTCATACACATCTCCTTTGTGTGTAAGATACAATTAATTATATTAATATCCCCCTGGAATATCATAATTATTTTCTATTCAGTAAGATAAAGTGTCACCTTCAGCAATCCGAAACCAGCTAAACCTCCTTTTTGCCCTTAGTCACCTTTCTATCCTCGCCTTAGGCCCTAGTCGTAAGAGTGAGGTGAGATAAGAGCCCAAAATTCTAGAATCCGATTGAAGGTAATCCTGCCAAGATGTGTACCGGTACGTGTTGGGTATACAAGTGCAGCCGATGCAGCGGAACCATCCTTAAAGACACCAACGTCTCGGGGCACACGTGCAACGCAGCGCGACGGAACAGGAGCCGCGGATGCTGCCGTACGGGCATCGAGTTTACGTTTTACGATAAGGATTCCGACGAGATGTGCGCGCTGTGCGAAATCGCCGAGGAGTTAAATATGATCAGCGCCGAATCCGACTACGAGTCCTGTGCTAGTAGCATTTCTGGGGAGTACGAGTCTTGCGTTAGTGTCGTTGATGATGATGATGATGATGATGGCAAGGATGGACAGGTGGGGGGAGATGAAGAGAATGAGAATGAGAATGAGAATGAGGAGGAGGAGGAGGAGGAGGAGGAGGAGGAGGAGGAGGATGACGGAGGTGTCAAGTTAAGTCCTTGAAGCTTTCCATACCCGGAATAGAGAATTTTGTCGGCGGCGCACGGCAATGATGCTGAAAAAGGGGTTGGTAAATTAGAAGGACACATTTGTTTTTTAGTCGCTCGTTTGGTGGAAGATCAGTAAGTACCTAGACATCCCATACCCTGAGCACATACACGATATCTAGATAAAACTCGATCGATAGGCATGAATATACTTTCACTTGTTAACCTCTAGCAAAAATATTATCCAAACTTTTCGTGTCGTGTGTATATGGTGATTTTCGTGAGGTTCACAGTCTTATAGCTTTGACGCTGACTAGATGTTTTAGACATTTTGATATACAAGCTTCAACTTTAAACTATGGCAACTTGATGGGGCGTTCAATATGAAGGAATGGATTTACCTCTGATGAATAACATAAAGCTGTATTTTATGATAATTATTTTAATTTCTATGGCTTACTGAGAGTCAGTGTCAAGGCCAAAATGGAACATTCGAGGCAGTTTGAATTATCATTCACAAGAAATAGAAATAGCTCAAGTGTTTTTTCATTCGGGATACATGTGTAAAATTATTAAATTTAATCCTATATATAGAGAATATTAAGCATGGTGCTGTTGAACCAGCAACCCCGACTTCTAACAATGAAGTTGTTTAATCTTAATCCTTATTAACGCTGCACGCACAAGTATCCACATATGTACATATATTATCATTAGTTCATATTAACCGGCAGCTAACCCAATCTATTGTCTCTCCAGCCGAAACGGCGAGTTCCAAGGGGCAGACCACCGGGATATTAGGGGGGCACGCGAAGACTCTGCTATAGAGAGTATAGAGGCGCTTTTCCTTAGTTGCGGAGCTGGCCACAGGCACCGTTGCCAACCACCATGTTGGTGCTGGACACAGCAACGTGGCCGAAGGTTCCGACACGGTTGCCGCCATTGCAGACGCCGTAGTCCTTGACGGTGTAGCACCTGCCGACGGTGCTGTAGGCGAAACCACCGCAGTGAGCAGTAGTAGCGCAGAGAGCACAGCAGTCGGTGGCAGAAGGTATGGTGCCCTGGTCGATGAGGGAGCCGTATAGGTAGTTGATGCTCTGGCGGTTGAGGGTAGAAGCAATGTTGTTGCTAGCACACTGGGCGTAGGCGGTGGGGGTAGGACCGACGGTGAGGGTAGTGGAGGCGGTGGCAAGGACCGTAGTCGTAGTGGGCACATACGAGGTAGTCTGGATAGTTTCCGTAACAACGTCAGTGATGGTAGTCTCGGCCGGGATGGGAACCTCGGTGGTAACGGTGGTGATAACGCTGGTGGTGGTATCTGTGACGGTTGAAACAGGAGCAGTGAGGACCTGGACGGTGGTCAAGGTCGAGGCGGTCGAGATCGAGGTGGTATAAGTTGTAGTGCCACAGGCGACTGTGGCAACATAGGTCTGGATATCTCCAGCGTTAAAGACAGGAGTAGCAACAGGACAGCCGGCGGTAATTGTGCGGCCGGCAAGAACGCGGTTAACAGTGCGGGCTACAACGTTAGGGAGGGCAGACTTGATAGGCGTGAAACCAGCAGGCGTGGCAACGGTGGTTGTGGTGGGCAACACAGTGATAACGTTGGTGGTGGTGTCGGTAACAATATCAGTGGTAGTCTCGATATTTGTGAACGTAGTGTACTCGGTCGTGGTCGTGAAGTAGGTGTCCGTAACCTGCGTATCGGTCTCGGTGTTAGTAACAGTAGTGAAAACTGTAGTAGTGGTAGTCGAGGTGGGCGTAGAGATGATCTCCTCAGTGGTGGTAGCAACCACAACAGAGGTCTGAGTAACAGTGCCGGTCTCCAGGGTGGTGTAGATGAAAGAAGGAGGCTTCTGGGCAAAGGTCGTTCGGCAGGTGGAAGTATCCTCGACGATAGGAGCCTCATAACCAGGAGCAGGACCGGGATTGGAGCAAGTACCACTGCAGGTTGCGACGATCAATGAACCACTCTTAGCGCCGGCGTCTTCAACAGAGAAAACACCCTCGTTAACACGGGCACCGTAGGTTGAGCAGATACGGTTCTTGAAAGTGAAGCTGATACATAAAGACGTGTCATCACACCTGCCGAGACAGTCCTCGAAGCTGACCGAATCGTGCATAGATATCCAGTTACCACGGATGCTGAAGTCATCCAAAACATCGTAAGAACAGCCGCAAGAGCTAGTTCCGACAACGAAGTCGGTCGGGGTCGGGCAAGGAGCAGCTTCCGAAGAGCTGGATGCAGAGCTCGAGGATGTGGAGCTTGGCACGAACGAGGAAGAGAAGGACTCCGTGATAGAGAAGCTCGAGGAGGAGCTAGACGCGGGCACCGATGAGGACGATGTAACGAAGAAGCTCGAAGAGCTAGACGCAGGTACAGACGAGGATTCTGTGATAGAAAAGCTTGAGGAACTAGACGCAGGCACCGAAGAGGACTCGGAGAAGGAGTAGCTTGAACTGCTCGACGGGTCTACCGAGCTGCTGGATGCGGGCACAGAGGAGGACTCGGAGAAAGAGTAACTTGAGCTGGTGCTCGACGCGGACACGGAAGAGGATTCCGAAATGGAGTAGTTAGAGCTGCCTGATGGGCCTACAGAGCTGCTGGAGACAGCGCCGGAAGAAGACGAAGACTCCCTCGGGTATCCGCTGGAGGAAGTGCTGGTAGCGGCATACGAGGATCCCGTTGACGAAGCACCCGACGAAGCCGAAACTCCAGGATACCCAGTTGCTCCCGAGGATGAGCTTGAAGCGCCGGCACCAGGGTAGTTGGACAGAAAAACCGACTTACACCTAGCCGCAGCCTCCCTCGCAAGGAGGGCTACAAGGACAGTCTCGAACCTCATGTTGACGAAGACACACTGGTGAGCAAAGTAAAACGAAGGACTTTGAATGAGTGTAAAGAGCGACGAGAGACAAAGGCTGGTGGTCGAAATTCAGAAACCGGTCTCATCGCGGTCTATTTGAATGCATTTCTTAATGTGACCGGCATCAGGGGAATCCAATACTAGAATCCTCATCCATCACGTAGCCTAGTAAGATGGCTCTATTTCTCTTCTGACTAATTAAGCCGCCTACGAGTATCCTCAATCGATGCAGAATCTAAAGCAGACATCTAGCTGAGAGCTAACTTCTCTGGGTACGAGCTGCCGTTAGAATCGAAAGGTGACAGAGCGTCTAGAGAGTCTAGACCCAGCCGTCAGTGCTTTGTGGGGTAGCTGAAAGCCTCAGTCGTCGACTATCGAGTAGCTTGGACTGACCTATATACCAGGTACTAAGCAGCTAGAGAGCGGCTGCGTTCCACACGTGGTTGAGATAAGCGAGTATTGTGGAAATTGCTGTATACTTCGACGTAAACAATCGAACTCTAGCTAATAAACGCCTAGGTCAGATTACTGACAGCTTGGACTAGGCGATTTACCCCTGACTAGCGTCTAGCGTCGGTGATGTTGTGCGTAGCTCGCATCTAGTCTTTTCTACAATTAGCTACTTTAGTTTATGAAGAATGGGATTTTGCTCTAGTTAGTATCGTAAGGTATAGACAACCTACATCCCTCATTCAGCAGAACCGAGGAATATGCTTAACGGGGAATATTTCGTTATATCTAACGTCAGATTACATGTGATACTTCCTTTACCGATATATAGACGAATCACTTTTTGACAATGAGAGAACATGGAAGGAAATATGACGAACATCTATATTATATACCACATTTCAATAGTTGTTGGACCATCATCGCTTAACCTTGACTAAAACCACTGCTTATGGTAGAGATTTTGTTGATCTACTATGTATGATGCATATTTTTTTTAAAAAAATATCAGAGCCAGAGGCAGAGTTAATGTGAGGGTAAAATTACCAATAACTAACCGAAAGCCCACGAACTAAATAAGCATCTTGTCATATAATAGCACTACGTAGAACTGCACCGTATCGTACCACTCTATTCGAGACTAGACGCTATAAGCTTGCTCCGTTTATAAGTCGGTTGTCTACTAAAACCCGAGGTCCACTAGAAAGAGCCTGTTCATGGCTCTAAGTTCTTCTAGGATCTATTTAGAAATACAGGAAATTATAGAGCAATATAGAAGGCAAGTTGTGCTCCAGTAGCGGCACCGGCCGTCATTCGTACGCTTTCATCTAATAATCCTGTTGATAATTGAATATAGAGTGTATATATAGTTGAGTTATTGTATCAAGTTGGCTTTATTCATCTAATTAAATAAGTGAAGTATAACAAAAATACCTACCCATGCAATTAGGTACTATTCATCACCATCCTGGAAGAAATGTTCCTTAGTTAGGTTCGTAGTTTATCAGAGGAGACGGCGAAAATTTAGCGAGACATTTCTTTGATAGAAAAGAACTACCTGGGCGGGTCTTCCTCGAGAGCGATGCCGAGGCAGATCCAGATCCCCCGAATTCGCTCTCTTCATCGGGGCCTGGAAGCCTAGTGATGGTTTTCATATTAAATAGTCGGTATGATCTACCTGGAGTATTTCAAGAGAGGCAATTCCCGTTGTCTGAGGAGAAGTGAAAAAGTCGTGCTGTTTTCTGTACTGGTACTGTGACGAATAGAGAGTATTATTATGATCCTTATATTCATATATATTAGTCGATTCGTCATCCACCGATACAAAGTAAATAGGGAAGGTAGAATACCAGAGATAAATACTACATATCTATGGCACATATGTCTTGAATAAAATACGCGGAGCAGTAGTTTTTATAGAAATATAATATTTTAGACGATTGAGCATAGAGAGATGTTTGCGGCCCATGGCAAGCTGCCAATTGCATAAAGGAGTACATAATCTTCTAGAATTACCTGGTGATATAAGACTGCTATAGCTCCCTCCCTCCCTTGTTCTTGGGAGGGAATGGATCAACACAGTCACCAATGCACTACTACACCAGTAGCCAGGCCCCTATCTCTCACTCTGTGCTCTACGATACTCTGTCATAAAATAACTAACCAAATAATTTATATCATATTTTTCTAACGTTAGGTCTGTGGTACTTATCGTATTATTATCATACGAATTTAGTCGGGAAACTTTGTTTGTAGCATATCCCTAAAGAGGGTTGAGAGATTAGTCCCGGCTCCCTTCCCCAAGCTCATTTAGCTCTAATGCCATGTAAGAAAGTAAACTCCGAGAATCAATTTATGACAACTAAAAGAAAATGTTCTTCAAGGTTCCGTAGTGAATAAACAGGCACTCCCTCTTAAAGGGGTAGTATACTTCATACAAGCATGAGTAAGCTCCGATAAGATAAAGCTACCCCGCCTGCCAAACTCCGCTTTAATACATATTGCGTACCTCGTAGGGCTGAAGGCAACAACGTAATGACATAAAGAAGCGGCAAATCCATGTAATAAGTTCTTCTGATATCGGCAGTTTACCACTTAAGTTTTATCATTCTTCCTATATACATCTTACGATATCGCATGTAAAGCTTCAATCAACTGCTTTAAACTATAACCTACGTGTCGGATGAACTCATCTTCATTATGTCGACTAATCCTCTAAGCTCGTCGGCCATCCTTCAGCAGATGGCCGATGCTCTACCTACTCATCCCCAAGGCGATACCACATCTGACTTGAGTAGTTCCCATGAGGCTCTAGCTTTATTTTCTCACGCCTGCATGGCTTCTCTCGGATTCCGTCTCCTTGGTTTCGATGAAGATAAACTTGAAGGTACATATATATCTAGCTTATACGATTTACATGATACTAAGCATTGTTTAATAGAAGCACAGTGCCATGAGTTAGCCCCTCGGCTTCCGCCGAATTGGAATGCGTCGTTCAACACATATGCATTTGTCTATGCGCACCAGCAATCAGCCCTTCGCTTCGTTATCAGAACTGATCGGATGGGAGGCAAAGCCGAGATCCGTGGCCTGGGTATTAATGACGAACGTATCACGCGCGTTGAAGTCACCATAAAGGATTTCATCTCTAACGCGGCTCTTCCTGTCAGAATAGCCATCGATGGCGATGGCGTAGAGGATCGCTCCAACCTACCACAGACCCTACAGAATGTTTTCATCTCTGGAAGCCGTATCGAGGACCTGGCTAGTCTGATCAAAATCAATATTGTCCAAAAACTCCTTCCTTCTCTTCAGAAAGAAGGCTACGAGGAATCTGCTGATGACAGAGCCGCGCGCGACGATGCTGACGAAGCGGGTCGAAGACCGCCAAGACAGCCTGTAATACCGGATCCACTGCCCCAGCCGGCACAGCCGTACCCTTATAATGACCCCCTTAGCCCACCGCCCCGCAACCCGGTTCCGGCTGGCGATTTCCCACCACCGGGCTTCGAAGACCCTTACGACATAAACCGTCCAGCGGGAATTCCGCTACGACAGCCTGCCCGAAGCCCATTTGGGAATATTGGGGCTGATGATCTACACCCCCCTGGGCTAGGACCGCATGATCCGCTCCGTCCCGGATTAGGCATTGGAGGGGGCCTACCGCGACCTGGTGGAGGTCAAGGCATGCATCCAACTTTTGATGACCCTCTATTCGGAGGCCTTGGCGGTGGAAATGGTGAATTTGACCCTCAGGTACCACCGGGAGCTCGTTATGACCCCCTAGGTCCGGGAGGCCTCCCAAGGCTAGGAGGCCGCAGGCCAGGGGGAGGAAGCGGTCCATTTGGTGGAGGGTTTGGAGGATTTGGTGGAGGAGATATCATTTAATACACCACAACAGACTAGTTGATGAGCCAAAGTTGACTTTATGAGGCGTCTAGGCGAAGGTGTGATATTCACGGAAAAGGGTTTGTATTACTGGACTGTATAATTCTAAGCCCTTGCTATCATTGCCAGTAGCTTCAAGGAAATTGTTGAAATGAGAATGAAGACATACTAGACGACTACAGTATCACATTATTTTAACTAATATAAAATCCCCCAAATACTAAAATAACGTAAGCTCACACTGAACAAGTAGTATTAGCATGAATATGTAAATTTTATTCACTTGACGAGGGTGATGATAATTGTTCTTTAGCTTTGCCTTCTTCAACCCAGCATTCAAAGAACAAAGGCCCGGCTTCTACTGCACAGAGGGGAGTTGTCTTAGCTCCCCCAACATCTTGACCAGGCGCTGGGTTGTCTCTGGATCTTGTCTGTAGATTTGGTTGTGAAGGTATCCAAGGTTGGGGGTGCTAATGCTTGTTAATTATTATTAATTGAGGGTTTGAGCTGGGATCTTGATTATAAACACTCACCCCTATTGGCGCTTCACTTTCATCTCGTAATTCCACTGCAATAGTAAAAGTACATCCATCTGGAAGTGGTGTAATCTTTTCAGCAGCATATGTTAACTTCCTCACAGTAGCACGTAGTTGTTCATCTACGTTGGCCCAATTCACTTTTCCCTCTACGCCACTCTCAACATTTCTAGCCCCTTCAACAAGTTCGTCTTCTTCTTCTATTCTTGGGCCCCTTGCTTCTTTGAAACCTTTCCATGCGGGGAAGTTGGCGACATCAAACATCCATCGTTCCATTACTCTTGCCTGTCCGTCATATATGACAATAGCAATGCGCTCCACAACACCTAGGACAAGCTGTCCCTTTACAGCATCTACAGCGTCGCGGATCCACGAACATACTTTCGGATGTCTTGACTGATGAACCGGTAGGTTATATGCTCGACTGGTGAGAAATGTCTGAGCTGGGTAGATAGAGCGATAGTAGAGGATATTATGGATGCAAATTGTGAGGAACTGGGTGAATGAAATTAAGAGGTTGTTAGCTTGGCTGAGAGGTACTGATGGGTGCTCTTCACGAGGCTGCTGGCTTTGTAGAGAGGCCATTGTTGTAATGAGTTATAGCATCACCCCTCCCCCTCAGAGGCTTATGGCTTTGGCGCGAGATCCCGTGGTTTAGGTAAGTAGGTACCTAGCTAGGTACATATAGAAGACGCGTTGAGGGGTAGGATTTCAAGATTTAAGACGCGTTAAGTGGGAGCAGGTAGGTTTGTCCATATGATTGGCGAGAGGGTTCCCGTTAAAAAGTTTAGGTAACACCAAGTGCCCTGCATTAGCAGATTAGGTTCCGTTAATGGTGGGCAGTATTGTACCCAGGTAGGTACGTATTATACCTCGTACCTACATCGATACTTCCACCTCAGGTAGATACATACGTGTATGTAACAAACAATCTAAAGTAGAAGGTACATTTAATACTTTGTACCCGATGTACTTAATATCCAAGTCATTTTATACCTACATGTATGAGTACATGTATGTATCTCCAATGTTGATATTGCAAGTTTAGTACCTATTTATGTAATGTGATAACCCCAAGAACTTTTCACACTTGAACTTTTTTTTGGGGGGGATCAACACCACTTTTTTTTACCAACGCGTCACGCTAATTTTTTATAGTGACATTAGACTGCTAAAACAATTAAGCAACAATTAAGCAGTTGCCGCTGTCAGTGCTTGCCCACACATGCCCATTTAAATCGGTATCACACCTGCAGCCGTGCCACCTTCGTCCCGCAACTATTTTGACCGCTTTCAGATAAAACAGAAACATTTCTGTCGAGGCAACTATCGAAGCCACTATCTCGACCACAGAAACCCCACATCGTCCAACAACAATATAATATTAGAGCTTGTTCAACAACTGCTTGAACTATCTGGATCGGCGACAAGACTCGAGCGCCGACAATGGAGGACCAACTCGTCCAGGTCCTCGCCAACACTCAGTTGGCTGCCGAAGGTCCTAGAAAACAGGCAGAGCTTGACCTGAAGCATGCAGCCAGCAATCCTGTATTCCCGCTGTCTCTTGCAAACATTGCCCGACATACGTCTATTGCCATAGAAATCCGACAAGCTGCTCTGTCTGCTTTGCGACTCTTCATCGAGAGACACTGGAGCGGGGAGAACGATGATGGCCCCGCCATTCCTATCGCCGATTCTACCAAAGATCAGATCCGACCTCTAGTTCTTGATCTTGCCTTGAATTCGGAAGATGATAGGAAGATCAAGACGGCTGCAAGGTATGAAATCCTTATAAAACAAAATGCATTGGTCCTACATTCTTATTGCCTGCCTATGCTTGTAAAATGGCTATTTCCCCAGTGCTTGCTAATTTTACCTTACTATTTCGAAAATTACTGACTACCTACCTATCTAATTAGTTATTCGGTCGGCAAAATTGCTAATGTCGACTTCCCCGAATTATGGCCGTCGCTTCTTCCTACCTTGCTCGAGATAATCCCGAATGGGAACGATAATCAGCTCCACGGTGCTTTGATAGTCCTCCGGGATTTGGTTGACGAAAGCCTCAGTGATGACCAATTCTTCTCCATGGCACGAGATATAGTTAAGGTCGTATACGATGCCGCTATCAATGAAGGCCGAAAACCCATCTTGCGCGCTCTTGCCGTCTCCGTCTTTCGTGGTTGTTTTGACCTCATGGATACTGTCAAGGAGGAGCACCCGAAGGAAGTACAGGCGTTTGCCGAAGAGGCAATGAAGGGTTGGTTTCCTTTCTTTCATCAGGTCATGAAGTTAAGGCTCCCTGCCCTCGAACCTCAGTCGACTGTACAGCCTGATACATGGAATGGTATAATTGCCCTTAAGCTCCAGGTTGTGAAATGTCTTCTGAAGTTGAAGTACGTTTTCTCGAGTCTCCTGCTCCCTGAGACGCCACCTTTCTTTCAGGCCATCTGGGAAGAACTATTGCTCCTCGAGCCTGCGCACGAGGAGCTATATATTCAAAACGATGCTCAAGGCAGGCTAGAAGACTCTGATGGCCTTCCCTACACCCTAGACTTCCTCATTTTGGAGGAACTAGATTTCTTGAATGGTTGCTTGCGAGCTCCACCTGTTCGCAAGGAGCTAGAAGCCCAGTTAGCGGCCCATGCTTCTGCACATGAGACACCATGGGTACTGGATATCATGAAGCTCGCTACTTCTTATGCTCTTATTACTAGAGAAGAAGAAGAGTTATGGGACATAGATGTTTCCCTCTATCTTGCAGAGGAGCAGTCTGTGAGCGCCAACTATACCCCACGAACTGCTTGCGGAGACCTCCTAATCAAACTCGGCGAATGGTTAAACCAGAAAGCATTAGAAGGTCTCTTTGCTTATACGAAGGGCCTCTTTGTTGAGGATGCATCGTGGAGAAGACAGGAAGCCGCTCTATACTTGCTCAATCAGCTTGTGAATGACTTCTTGGACTGCAGCAAGACCATCCCTCTAGAGATCAGCCAGGCGTATCTTGAACTGGTAAACTATGCTATTAATCGTCCTGGGGAACCGTTACTACGCAGCCGTGGGTATCTAATTGCTGGCGTATTAGCTCAGTTTGACGGAGTAGCAGCTTCACTCCTGGACCGAACGATTGAGGCTATTGCGGCAGAGCAGTCCGAGCTTGTGCAGGTTGCGTGCATAAAGGCGGTCGAGGGATTTCTCCAGTGTGGAGGGATTGCCGAGAACCGACAGGTTCAAGCAAATGTGGTCAACGCTATTTCTCAATGGATGTCTGCGCGGGACATGTCCGACATTGAACAGGCGGATGACTTACTTGTTACACTTACAGAAACCCTCCGAGCTGCTATCAATATCGACAAACGAGTAGCTGTGTCCAACGATGTTCCTGCCTTGGATTTACTCTTCCTCATTGCTAAACATGGCTCAACTAATTGGCAGGTATGTATCAAATGGTCTTGTAAAATTACTAAATCTCTTTTACATGCTGTCAAGTATATGTCCTATTCATTGGTAGTGCTAACTTATACTGGCGTTTAGGTCACTATGCTTATTTGCGAAGAATTCGAAGACATCGTTAAAACAATGCCAGACCCAGCCTTATACCAAGCACTTTGCCAAAAAGTCCTTCCTACACTGAATGGCGCATTCAACGTTGCTGATATTACCTCAGACAATCCACTCATTACGGTAAGTTTAGAAGATTCCCTAGCTAGTAGTTCATCGTTGAAGTCTTCGAAATGTTAAATCTACTTCATTTCCTATAGTCCAGTTAATTAGCAGGGCTAACTAGTCTTAAAGTTTGCTACCGAATTGATGGCTGCCCTTACTCAATATGCCTCAGAACCCTTACCTCCTGGGTTCGTAGCAGCTACCTTGCCCAAGCTGAGCCGCTTACTTATGGAGAGCAATGAGGGTGATATCCTAAGACCAGGCGCTGAATCAGTCAAATATCTCTTAGCACACGACCACGAGCAGGTACTCAACTACCACGACGAGAACAATAGATCTGGCCTTGAGGTTTGCCTACATATCATTGACCGATTGCTTGGTCCATCTATCGAGGACAATGCGGCATCCGAAGTTGGTGGTCTTGCAGCCGAGCTAGTTGAAAAAGCAGGCCATGAGCGACTTGGTCCATTCTTACCACAGCTCTTACAGGCAGTTGCCAACCGATTAGCCTCGGCCGAGGCTGCTGGATTTATCCAGTCCCTTATTCTAGTCTTTGCGCGACTCTCTTTGGTTGGTGCTCGAGACGTTGTCGACTTCCTCAGCACGATTCAGATCAATGGCCAGAGTGGCCTACAGGTCGTCTTAGGCAAGTGGCTGGAAAATTCAGTCAATTTCGCGGGATACGATGAAATCAGACAAAAGTAAGTGAAAATGGTTGGACTGAAACCACGCCCCTACTAATTTGAAAATAGTGTGATCGCTCTCTCCAAGCTATTTAGCTTGAATGACCCCCGACTTCTCCAGACGACAGTAAGGGGTGATATGATCATACCTGTAAGTGATAGAATTATGACAAGGTCCCGTGCTAGGCAAAGTAAGTCTCTGCTCCAAGCCCCTCACGTATTATTGCTCACTGATACCCAGCCCCAGACGAATATACTGCAATCCCTGCCCCCTTAAAGATCCTTAAGGTTCTGATTGAAGAACTTCTCTCCGCATCAGGCGCGAATAACGCTGCTAATGTCGCGGCTGCGGCGGCGGCGGCTGAGTTTGCTGATGACGACGATGATGATGGCTGGGAGGATGACCCAGACACATTAGACCTCAATCTTGGTAGCGTCAAGAATGATCTAATGGGCTTCCTAGAAGCCAACAATATGCGCCGCCGGGATGATGAAACTCAAGCTTATCTTACAGAATTCTTCCTCGCAGCAGCGCGCGACAACATTGCCGGGTTTGGGGAATGGTACAACCAGCTAAATGAGAACGAGAAAGCAAAACTAAACGAACTCTCTGCGCAATAGGCTTGCGCGTAATCGATAGTCATGCAGCACAAAGTATAGAAATAATTCCAAGAGGATATCTCATGGTCGATAATCGAGTTCGGATTGGAAGTTAAGCGGTGCTAGTCTAAAGGCTCAATACAGTTCCATACCAAGAATTGCAAAGAATTGGTATCCCGTCATAATGGGTTCAGTTCTCTGGGGTAGAGGTGCGCATATCTGGGTACTTACTGTAAGCAACTAACCTAGTAAATAATGCCTTGCTGGCTGTCCAGCTTGGGGACTTGGATGAGGTGTCTGGGGGGGAAGGGGGGGGGGGGGGGGGAGCTGAGCCGTAACTAAAGAGAATCGATGACTATGTCTATTTACCTTTGCTATCGGCTGCCTCATATATAAGTCTTGTCCGTGACGTATATCGTAACATCAAACCTTCGTATTAAGCAGGCGTTATTATACTGCCCGGGGGGAGGGGGGAGGGTTGGAAATGGTATATTTGCTAGTTGACCGAAAAGCCATGTATGATAGAAAATACGGCATAGGAACCACAATTAGTAAAATTAGCAATATCACGATGAGGATCAAGCGTAGAAATGAATATTATCTCATCTTCCATTTCATTCCATTCCATCCCATTCCCTCAACCGAGAATGTCCTATATCACCTATTATTCGACCTCAAAAAACAACGCACAAGAAGCGACAAACTCGACAATTACAAATCGTACTTTTCTCATCTATACTATAATTAATTACTGGATTGGGTCCGGGGTTTGCCATCTCATCTTGTATCATCTCGTTTCGTAACATCCATCCAGCATTAGCGTAGCGTAGGTTTGTCCAAGCCAAGCCGAGCCAAGTTATCTCAGTCAGTCAGTCGTGCCAGAATCGTTCTCGTTTTTTTCGTTCTCGTTTCATTACACATATACCCGTCCACAAGCATCATCAAGTTCAAGTAGAAGTAGAAGTAGCCGCTTTGCCAGAACATGAAATAAAAGCCCCTATACAACGACGACAACGCCGGCCTCGCAACGCCCGCGATGAATCTCGTCGTGACCCCCCAAAGCAGCCAGAACGCCAGCCGTCCTAAAGAGCCCGCTTCATACATGACGTCCCTCTAGGCGTCACCGCCGCCTCCGCCGCCTTTCATAAGGGCCCGCAAGCTGGCCATTTCTCGGCGGAGGCGTGCGTTTTCCCGCTTCACGCGGGCCGTCTCCTCGCTGTAGTCTCTCATGCGTGTTATGATGTCTTCCTTGTCATCGCGCCCCTTGCCCTTAAGCGCTTTGACGATCTTGCCTAGTTCGCCGTTGAATTTCTCGTACAGTATCTCGTTCTCTGCCATGGTCTCTTTGTACAGCTGATCGATCGCTCTGACCTTCCCCTCGGCCGCCCTGACAGTGTTGTCCATGTCGTATTGGAGTTGGTCTTGTCGGTCTAACAACTGCGCGACAAGCATTGGGACACGATCCTCGAGGGCTCTCAGGCTGGCGGATAGCTTCCTCATGTCAATTGTTGAGGTACGTGGCAGAGATGAGTTGACCTTGGCCATATCCGCAGCGATCTTTGAGAGCTCCAACTGCAAATTGGCATCTACATCCTCGATAGCTTTCCTTTCCGTTTGCAACCGCTCTCGGAGTTTCTGCGTTGACTGCAATCGAAGCTTCCCTGGAGACTTATTTGGGCTAGAATTAGGTCTGGAGGTTGATTCAGTTGTCGAACTATTCTCACGTCTCAGAGTTGGGATATTAGAAGTTGAAAGCATCTTAGCATGTCCCTTCTTCGGCGATTCGTTCGGGGATTGGAACGGGTCTTCAACGTTTTCCTTTTGGCGGGACGAGCGAATAGCCAGGCTGCTATATTGCGAAGGCGGACTAGTTGGGATTTTGGATGGCGGTGGAATACGTGGTCCGGAATTGAACTTTTCTGAAGTTTGCTTCATATGGGAGAGAGGTTGCAGCGGTTCGTCCTCAAGGGTTGCTGCCTCCATAAGGCTCTTAAGATCTGATAATGAACTCCGACGTTTCCTCCTCGGAGTGTTAAGGAAATTCTCTTCAGTCTCAGGCTCCCCAATTGTTTCAAGCTTTTGTGAACTATTTGGTCGTGAATAGGTATCGTCGAAGGCACCTGTGATGGGAGGTCTATCGCGCGAACCAGGTCGCCTTATCCTATTCGGACTAGACGGTGTACCAATTTCGGACTTTGTCCTAATCACAGGACTTCTAGCCAAAGTCGGTGTCGTCTCACCGGTGGCTGGATTCCTGTTGTGTTTGCTCAGAGTACGCCATACAGATGGTCTATCCAACTCATTCTTGCTATTTTGCCTTGTCAAAAAGTTTTCTAGCCCAAATTTCCTTCTTATAGAGGATGTATTCGAAGCAAACGATCCGGTATGCGATCTCACACTGCGAGTAGTCGAGTTCATAGACTCGAAAATAGACTCAGCTTGATCAATGCTTATACTGAATCCGCTGGGCCCGTCATCAAATATTCGGTCACAATCTTCAACAAGCCTATCAAGCAAGTTAATATAATTATGCGCATCCCCACCATCGACCAAGAGCTCTGCAAATGCCAAGGTGAGAGCTCCCCTGTCACTGTCATTCGCGCAACCGTCGAGGAGGTCCGCTAGTAGTTTGATCAGAGCAGTAAAGGCCCTTCGGTTTTGGGGTGCTATATCCCTAAAGAGGAAATGAACGAAGTCGGCGAAATCTCCAGGAAGCTTTTTTGAAGCTCTCTCTTGGAGAGCGTCTAACATCTTAAGCGATATAATGGGGCCCATTTGTTCTCCCCAAGCGATGCGCACGAACTTCTCAAAGGCAACGAAAATGACATCAGGGGTGGAATCAGATGAAGTTTCAATATCGAAGGGACTTTCGATAAGTTTGTTGTAGAGATCATTCACGGAAAGTTCATCAACAGCAGACCTGTTGAGCAGCGTTCGACCAATAAAGTTACCTTTGCGTGCCTGGAGACTAGCCATATAGCCAGTAAAGGTTTGCTCAAGCCGAACCAACGGGTTTTCTGGTCGATCATCGTCGGTTCCGCCAATCCGAATTCCATCCCTACTCTTGGTTGAGCCATGCAACGAGTTCACATCAACGGAGCTGTTAGACCGGCTGAGTCGGCTAGGAAGAAGGATTGGAGCATCTCCGGTCAATGTACGCTGATGCTTGTGACCGCTGCTTGTATCCGAGTTGCTGCTTCCGCTCAGGAAGTTTGAGAGGTACTTCACGGGTGATGTAGCTAGGAAGGACCTCGTTTTCTCGGCTTTGCTAGAGACACTTAAACCCCGAAGTACCTTTGTATGAAATGAAACCATCGCGGCGGTCAGTGCTGGGTTTCCGACGTTGAATTGAGTACTGAGAAGCTGAATAACTGCGAATCAATTAGCAAAATCTCCGCATTGCTCCAGCAACGAAAACATACCTCTCCTAGCAAGTGTTGGGAGGAAATCATCTAGCCCAATCTCGTCGGTCGCCTTCTTTCCATTGAGTCCTATTGTGATGACCATCACCTTCCTCATGCTCCCCGTCCCCGTCTTTACATCCGAACATATCTCCACGCCATAATGACCGACAGGCGCGCCTTTAGTACCCTTCTCGTGGTCTATAACGATACGAACAGGAGCCGGTTCCTTCCGACCTTCTATCAGTTGATCGAGGCCTTCCTGAAAGACAGCGGCGAACAACCCTAGGCCAGTATCAGACATCCTTATAGAGCGTAGAGTCCAACAAGGATCTTCACGCTCCTTCTCGGAAAATCTGCCTTCTACTCTAGCTTTGACGACCTCTTCGCTCCACTTTGCGGCTTTGCCTTCGTACAATTCCTGTAGCACGAAGCACCGCGAAGTAGTTGCCGTGCTCGTGACAAACTCACCGGCATTGGCGCCCTTCATCTCGTTCAACGAAGTCAACCAAACCATACGCCCATCTGAAGATTCTGTAAACCGGACGTCGGCTAAAGCGTGCCAACCGGCAAATGCTAGCTCGTATGAGCCTGGGCCACCAGCCGCGTTCGTCATGGAAACCAATAAACCGGCCGGCGATGGCTTGTCAATCTCACGTAGTAGGTCGCGTGCTGACGTATTGGCACCGTAAACCTTTCTTACGATCACGACGCAATCCGAAAAGAGTAGGAAAATGCCGGCTTGGTCGCTTGGAACTAGCTGTGTAGCTGCACCAGGTTGGTAAGGAGCCGGTATCTCAGAGAAGTCAGCGGCAACAATTAGCCGGCCAAGCGGCTCGAGGTCGACAGGCCAACTCTCGATCATGTGTCGTAGGCGTGTGTTAATATGAGGCTTATCAGTGAGCGGGTCATCCATGGAGCAGATGTTGGCAATAATATCCCTAGCTTTCAACATAGGTTGGAGCGCAGGATGGGTAATTGGTAGAGAGCCGACAATTTGGTCAATGACCAAACTATAGCGTGGCAACCGCTGGACAGGCTCGATGACAGTGGATCGAAGATGTTGCTCTCCAGTGGCAGCTACTCGTTGCGAGAAGCTGGATTGTTGGCTAACGAAGGATGTAATTAGCTGAGGGAAGTTTTGACTCGCTCGAATATAGTCCTGGTAACAGTCAGTGAACTTTGGAAACCATTCCAGCATGACCTTTGCCATTGCCACAGCTCCGCTTGCATCTTTTGCCTTTCCCATCACACTCCCGGACACGCCTACTCTCGAGGACGCAGTACCAGATTCCATATCTTTCACAGCATCTCCTTCGGTATCTTCCATGATCTGTCGCAGAGCTTGCATGAAACCCGTATTAATCTGTAAAATTTGATCGGCCGACCTAGGGAATAATTTTTCAACATCCTCTTCCGAAGGACTAAAACTCCCTGGTTGTTGCTCCTTGGCCTTTTGCCTATACTCGGGTGCAAGATGATTCACCAGCTCATCTATCTTCGACACGTATCGTTCCTCAGTCTCTAATAGCTCATCCATCTTCCGCCGCAACTCTGCCTTCTGCTGTTTTGAAAAAGACCTTGTTCTATTCAACGCGCTCGGCTTAGAAGGGGCTCGTCGTAATCTCGAGGTCGGTAAGAAGACGGGTTCACCGAATAACTTAACAAGAGGCGTGTACATGCCATACTGTCGCAAGGTTGGATCTAAAATATCGTCCTCATCCTCGGGAAGGTCCTCTAGGTCGATAGGCTGGAGAGGACTGATGGATCCAGGTGGTAAAACAAGATCAATGTCGATATTGTTTATATGCTGCGTTTGAAGGGCGGACTGCAGCTTTTGAATAACATCGAAGGCAGTATCCGCCCTGACCATCGACTTAGCAATATCGGCGGCATGTTGTTCACTGAAAAGCAAGGGCAACGAACCGGGTCGGCGATTTCGAATGATGGGATATTGGCTTCTAACGTGGGCCTTGACATGCTCGGGCAACTCCTGAAAGTATTTGAATAAACCGAAGGCCAAAGCTCGATAGACCTCGTCACCCTGAAACTCGCGGGGTAGATAGTTGACGACGTTGTAGAAAGGCGAGTTCGGGGATATAGTAAGTCGGGGAAAAGATTGGAAACCAGCCGGGGTATATACGTGAACCTGGACTCTCGAACTGTTTAAGGTATAATTTGCGGTTGTGGATGGTCCGTGAAGTATGAGCAAGGGGAGATGACCTAGTAAGGGGTCGGTAGCTTGGTAAAGAGTGAGATGATCTGGCGATAGAGCCAGCTCCTCGGTGACGCGAACCATGGCCGCCTCAGTAGGCCTGTCGCATCATGCTCCAGACAGGGGGAACGAGTGTGAGGAGGTCGACAAAGAGACCCGACGGACAAGTTAAACGAGGCAAACGTCTTCGGACCAGGTTTCGGTTTTAGTAAATAAGTTTGGGCTGGCTTCTTGTGCGCGTCGAAACCCGCAGTTGATTGTTTACTTTGAAAGCAAGCAACAAAATACTAGAGACTAAATTGATAGTACACAAGGCCACCCGCGACAGAAATGATGCATTCAATATAGCAGAAGAGGGGAATAATGAGAATTAATAAATGCGCCAAAGACCAAAACCGGATCTTCAATAATTGCAATGCACAACAACGGCCTCGAAGTCCTCCAAGAGTAGTAAAAGTAGTACTATTGTGGGAAGCATCATTTGCGGTCAGTGACGAGAGAGACGGCTAAGACTAGGATCAGAGCGGAAGTGGGTAGGGTTTCTATTTTTTTGTGGTCCCTCGGGGATTTAGCAGGTTTGCCGAACAAACGCGACAACTTGAAACCGCGTTTCGATTTTTTAACCCCACCTTATCCCCCAAGAAATCCTTATGTAAGGTAACTTTAGCAACCTTAGGTGTACCAGCCTACCTCTCAGATTGCCTTATCTCTACCTTATATTAGTGTATGTAGGCACTTTATATACCTAGAATAATTCGTACTGCTAGGAGGTACATCAGAATTAATCTGGAAGCAGGGCATTTTCCAGCTTTGCCCTTTCGACAAACAGCAGTTTCAATATTACACATCAGTCCATTGCCAAACCGCACCACCCGCCTAATGACTAAATAATTACAACATATGCAGGCTGCCTTGACGTAGCTATTCGATATCTCGATAATGCGATAATGTCTAGTCAAAGGGAGACGGGCATATCACTCAATCATGCTCCTGACGGAGTTGGTTATAAGCTATTAGAGTTACCTCCTGAGCTACTTACACTACTAGAATCAGACACGCCTCCTGTGTTAGTAAATCATAAATATAAAAGATTCCTTGATAAGTTGCTAATGAAATTTATGTCGTATAGTCTAACACTAGAGTCTTCGACGAATTCGGCAATATTAAAAAATGGTACTCAATCATGGGGTCTCCGTCAGAAAAACACATCGAATGCTTTAATCTTACTTAAGACTTCTGCGGGAACAACCCCTTCGTCTTCAGAGGTGCCGGAAGCAAGCTTAAATGCCATCGCAACAATCCACGATACAATCGAGCTTGCCCCAGAACTAGCAGTGGCAGCGCCTCCTATTGCAAAGGGCAAATGGCATGAGAGGTTTGCCAAGGGAAGATAGATCAGTTGTAAGAATTAAGAGACTAGCCGAGTTAGTAATTATGACCAACGTCAATTAATTACATAACTACTATATACCAATACGTTAACAAAAATGTGTGTGTGTGTTATTCCCGGATTTTAAACAGACCAAAGCATGGCCTCCTTGTAATATCATTTCATCCCTAGCTCCTATCGTTAGTTTTTCTAGAACATATCGACCGTAGCTACCGAGGCAATCGGAGAGTAGGGCAACTTCTCTCGTAAGCAAGGAATAGTTGTTTAGGTTGTTCTAATAATGTTCTAATAATGTTCTCGATGCAGAGTGCTAGAACAAGACATATAAGTGATCTACAATCTTGCAGGATAAACCTTGTCGGCACTACCACGCTACTTAGGTACATATATCGGGACCAAGGATTCGGGAAAGGCTAGAAGTACATACATGTAACCACATGTAGGAAATAACTATACGTATGTACTTAGGTACGCTTTTGGGCATGTATGTAAGTTAGCATTAGCATGAAGGCTAAACCAACGTTAAGTTATATGGCTATCTGCATGTAATAATAGAACAACCAACTAGGTTAGCATTTTATTTTGGGATGTGCCTGACGAGCATCGGTTTTAAGCGCTACATGCTTTAGCGGGCTTAGAAAAAAGTAGCATGCCAACAAGCCAATGCCAAATGCTCCAAGCCAGGGCAAAAAGTTCCCGATATGGCGATATGATGTGAAAAGCATTGTGCAGATGGTGAACCTTAGACCAGGCTGCAAAGGGATAGCCTGCCTACCAGAGCCTCAATTTATTCCCCCAGTCCGCCCCCCTTTCACACCAAAAAACCTTATCAACCTGTTCTCAATCTCAAATTAAGTTGGCCTGCCTATCTTCCTATCTACCTAACTAAAACTCGGTGGTATCACGTACCTTTGTTTCGCATACCTGGCCAGTTCTTGTTTGTATATAACTATCTACCTATCTAGGTTACCTATCTACCTAACATACCTATTTTAACCCATCTTCATCCCCATAGCAATGAAATGAGATAAGTGTAGGTTTTGCGACCGGTCGCCCTCAAAGCGCAGCTGCTGTACTGCTGTAAGGCTACAGACTACAGAACTATCATCCTATTGTCGGATCATCGAAATAAGGGTATTGAACTGGCTACATCTGATGGCAGGTGTACCCTATTGAGATTACTGTTGCTATTGTCATTTACTGCCATCTGGGAGAGCGGGGCTTTCTTTTTCTTTCGACAGCCAACAGCCTGATTCGAGTCATCGTCAATCGTGATTAGTGACGTTTTCTTACACTCACCCACACATAATTAGCGAAATGGCGCTCTTCACACTCGGCGCCCAAGCAACCAAGGAAATAATAACTCGAATCGTCCTCACCACGTTAACCGCCCGGGAACGGTGCATACACTAATCTTTTTGTCTGCCTTGTTGGTAGGCGCTGCTCCATTTTTCCAACTTATTTTTCCCTACTTTGTTTGTCTCTTCCTTCACTCACTACAATCCTACACATTCGGACACATTCGGACACCACCTCCTAGGGTCATCGCCAACATACTTACTTAGTCCATTAGGTACGTATGTGGCTGTGGGCGTATGCGCGAAATATCCTACCCCAGGTTGGAGCAAACTTTCGTTTGATCAACTGTTTCTTTTAATATTCTTGTTCTTGGTGTTCCACACGGACGAGTCTTATATCTTGTTTACCGTCTACCGTCTACCAGCCCATCCTCGACAGAGGTACACACTGTATTCGCATATACCCGAATGCCCCTCAAAGGTTACCTGGATTACCTGGATTATCTGAACAAGACTATCGGCAGTCTATCGGCACTTGCCTCGAGGTACTACATAGACATTACAGTACCAAGTCGCAAGCGCCTTACAGTACTTATACATATTTGATCCGACCTTGGTCAAACTTTCCATTTTAAGTAAGCATCTGCTTCTTCTGCCCGCGCGTAGGTAAAGTACATCCATACATGTACCTCCTACTTTTTGGTAGGTACATCTCAGCCCTGTGTGCTTAAACATTTTTATAAGTTTATACTCATTCCCCATCCCCCCTTCCTCCTTCCCTCTTCTTCCTGTCTCCGATATTCAAGACATGTGCCCAATGCTGAGTATTACTTCTCTGTCTTGCAACTACCTGCCTTTTACACTACCCCCTTGAAACTTCCTCGGGCTTACTCTTTCCTTTGTCTTTATATCTTTACATTTTTACATCATAAGCGCTATGCATTTTCACGTTGTTGCTCAAGCACTAATCCGTATGGGCCAAAGGTTATCTAGGGCCATATCTGCCGGCCGCTTAAGGGCTCGGGTTTGTCGTCGCAAGTCTAAACGACTTGGGGTCGTCCATAATCCTGTCTTCCCTGTGTCGCAACCCTGTGCCAACGCCAAAATGGCAGGACAACAGAATCCCATCATCATAGATGATGATGTAGACGATGATGTAGACGGCCAAGATGTGCTGCAAGACGTGATGGAGATCGCTGACCATCCCATTGAGTATCTCGAAGATTACGAAGATGTTGGAGACTTCGAAAATCTCGTAGATGGTCCTGAGCACTTTGAAGCATCGTTAGCAGTTCAGAACACCTGCAAAGACCATGTCAAATCCGTGTTCCCTGATATTTGCCTAACCTATCTGGACCAGATTGTCGCTGAGAATAAATATGATTCGGATTTTACCATTGGCGCTATTCTTGATCGGCAGGAAAAGGGCGAAAAATATCCAGTACAGTCTCGTAACCTGAAGCGCAAGCGAGCGGAGGACGACAATGGCGATATTGAGGACGAGGCTGACGATGAGGACGATGAGGACGAAGAAGCTAGAAAGGCCGAAAGTGCCGTCATAAAAGCAACGAGAAGGAAGCTGGAGCAAGGTGACTACCGTGTAACTACGGTTCAGAAACCATGCTATACAGATATGGCAAAGAATTTTTTAGCTTCTGAGGTGCGTCTGGATAATCATTTCCTTCCCCCTTTTCGAGACACCTTAACCGTCTCTTTTTATGCTACAAAAGCTAACATAGTCACAGTATGTCGAAATTTACTTTTCCATGCTGTCCTTGCTTTTTAATATCAATATACTCTTATTATGGGTAAATTCTAGTTATAGGCTTAAGACTAACATATCCCAGTTTCCCAAAAGTCCCGATACCAGTGATCAAGAACTTATTACGCGCCAATGGAGGATCTCTCTTCGAGACATATACGAAGATGGATGAGGCTATCCGCAACTGGGATAACTCAAGACCTCCTTGGACAGAAAAACGGCGACCGTCAAGAACAATAGTATCGTTCTTACCAGTTCGTATTGAGAGTCTTGACATGAGCAACTACAACGACGACCAGAAAGCTGCAATCGAGGAATTACGTGCTGCCAGGGATTTGAAAGCCATCAAGGACGCAGAAGCTGCTCGCAAGGCGGAAGAAGAGAAAAACTTTGCCCATGCGAAATCGATCGGCGAGATAGTTGAGTGCGGTTGTTGTTTTGACGAGTTCCCTCTCAACCGAATGATCCATTGTGATGGCGAGGACGTTCATTGGTTTTGTCGGAACTGCATGAGATCACAGGTGGAAACAAATATTGGCCTGTCCAAATACGAAATATCGTGTATGTCTATGGACGGATGCGAGGCCGGTTTCTCCATAGACCAGAAAAAGCGATTTCTTAACAAGAAGCTCCGTGTGGCCTTGGAGCGACTTGAGCAGGAGGCCGTGTTACGTATGGCAGGCATCGAGAATCTCGAGACTTGCCCATTCTGTCCATATGCAGCAGAATACCCCCCTGTTGAGGTTGACAAGGAGTTTACCTGCGTTAATCCAGGTTGTGAAAAGGTTAGCTGTCGCCTATGCCGTAAAGAAACACATATACCAAAGACCTGCGCCGAAGCTGCTGTTGACCATGGTCTCAACGCTCGACACGTTCTTGAGGAGGCGATGAGCGCGGCATTAATCCGGCATTGCAATAATTGTAAAAGACCCCTATTTCCAAGAAGCTATATGCATACAACTGACACCTTAGCTACAGGCAAAAATCCTTATTTGAAGTTGAACGGCTGCAATAAAATTTGTTGTACCAAATGCCATACATTGCAGTGTTATGTTTGTCGCCAGACTATTACCGGCTACAAACATTTCGATGATTCTTCAAGAGGCGGAAAAAATGGACAGTGTCCGCTGTTCGATAAGACCGAGGAGCGCCACCAACAAGAGGTGCAGCAAGCAGAAGAGAAAGCTCGCCAGAAAATGTTAGAAGATAATGCTAACATTGTAAGTCCTTTCTTTTACCCCATTGTTTCTTCGGTTTATAGATTATTACTCCTGGTTATTAGTCTGTTACGGCTCATTTCAATATCAATCTTCTGGCCCAAGTTTATCTCTAATATTTATGCTATTCAGACTGAGGACGCGTTAAAGATCAACCTCTCAGAACAAGTTCTGCGGGACGATCAAAAGCGTAGAAAGGGTAATTCGGCACAAGGCGCCCCTGGCATTCCTGCGGATGTTCTTGAAAATATGAACGATCGCATCGGTCGCCTCCAGCGTCTTGCACGGGAGCGTCAAGCAGCCTATCCCTTTATCAACCTTCCGGCTCAGCCTGTAGCCGTGGCTGGCGGTCCCCAAGTTGTTGGTCAAGATGTTCTACCACGCATCGGGGCACAGTTGGGAAATGTGGATGGCAGGGATCCACCCTTGATGCCCCCGATACAACTACCGGAGCAGTTTCCAGCAATATATCGAGAAGAGTTTGAACGGCGGCTGGTGGCGCTTAGAGCTGGAATACCAGCTCCAATACAGCTTCGTCAAGGCATAGCACCAGTCGGCAGACCCGTCCCTCAGGGCGCTCCTCCGGTTCCCCAGCCAGGCGCACCGCAGCCCCCCGCGTTGGTTCCCGAATATCAAGCAGTACCTCAATTTCATCCACCCTTGTTTCCACCCTTGTTCAACGGGCTGCCCCAAGGGCCTGCAGATCATCCTGCTCCGATCTACAGACCCCTGGGTAGACATCAAAACAGACAGAATCAAAATCACATTCGTCGTTACGGATAGTTATAACTACCGTCTTCTCATCCCTTGTGCTATAACGCGCCTCGTCCTTCACAAGCATCGTTCATGGAAGGACGTCTAAGTACCAAATTCGCATTTTCTGAATTTAGTTTTCTCGGAGTCGGTATGCTGCCTATTATCTGGCTGCTTTGGCTTTTGCCCTTTGTTGAAGGTGCCCATTCGATACATCATTCAAGGGGAGGTCATTGAATGATACGCATATAACCTTGTTTACTTTTACGGTCTAAGGACTTCGCAAGCACTTCCGCCTTTAGGAGTTCTGCCGGCTTGGCGTTGAGGAAGATATACAACATTGCAGCATACGAATTGGACGTCAAATGAGGAGGTTTGAGAAAGAGAGAAAGAGAGGGGGGGGGGGGGGGGGAGTGTATGTGTGTGTTTTAGTTTATTCTCTACTAAAGAGTCTTCTTTCTTCTATTCAGCCTTTCCGATCAGACAGCCGAGGTTATAGCAAGGCACGGTTGCCTACATCCTAACATATGGCTGACAGGATTGGTTATAGGGAGCTGGTGATTGAGAAGCTACCTACCTAGTCTATCCACACCCGTGTTGACTGGAAAGACTACTCTAGCCAGCTCCTATAATGATATCCCTGTCCCAGGTCTGCTCGGAGCAAGTTTCTATAGATACCCCGGATGGCTGTTGCCAATACTTAATGAACTCATTCTAATCCAGCCTGTTTGCATGCCCCTTTTCGCTCTAATTGTGCTGTTCTGTTTCTTCGTTCTTTGGACCCTACTCCCGTCTCGTCTCGTATTGAATCGTATTTCTTAGCACCAGCAGTACTTCTCATTCGCAACCCACTCGACATTGCGAACATCCTCGTCTCCGTACCACATCATGCTGGGTATGCTATCCTCATCCCTTTCTACCCAACGATGCTGCAACCTGCTGCTACCAATCAATTTCTTGACAGTAGGCGACGGATTCCACAAATCGACTTTTCCCAGATGCCAGCGGGAAGCCTCTCGCAGCGCAGCCTGCACCACAGCCCCAAACGCCTCCCCCACATCCTCGCTCGGAGTCTCGTTTCCCGCTTCTGTGGATTCGGGCTCGATGACTAGCCGTAGTATGTACAGCGTGTTTTTATCGACGTTGTCAGCCGGGGCACCGCTGCTCCCGTAGTAGTTCCGCGACCAGACGGCCCAGACACGATGGCCTTCGGGGCCGGCTAGGGCGCCTCTGGTGAAGGTTTCTTGCGGTGGGGACGGGGTTGATTTGAAGAGGATGGAGGCGATGAAGTCGTCTCTATAGAGATGCCACCGCAGGGTATCGTGGTCGGGGGCGAACGCTACGCTTGTGCGGCTTGTTTGTTGCGCTGTGTGTAGGAGCTTTTCTTTTAAGAGCTGCTCATCTCGTCGGCAGAGGGGTTCTAGGTTATCGTATGTTATAGGCGAGACTTTGCTCTTCCCGTTTTCTCCAGTCTGGTTGGTGGATGCTGGGAATTCGACGTGTAGACTGGGGAACGCGGCCCAGCCCTTTTTCGCGTAGTATGCCTTGCCAATATCAGACCAAAGAGCCGAGCACGCAGCATCGCGGCCGTGAGATTGCCATTTCCTCAGCGCAGGGCCCAGCTCGTTGAGCATACGCGCTGCGTACCGGTTCCCGCGGAATTCGGGATACGTAAAGACGGACCCGATACCGTGGCCCACGCCATCGTGTACCGCGTTATCTCTTGGGCAAGCAATTAACACACGCTTTCTAATAGACTCGCATGACGCGAGAACCGGACGGTTTCCCCCGCTATCTGCCGACCAAGACGAGTCTGTGAGAATCCAGTGTGTCATACCGCCGTCGCGTGTTAAGGGGATAGTAGTGAGGTACGGCTCTCGCTTCAGGTACTCCTCGAGAGTTAGAGCACCACCCCATTCTCTATGGTTGAGAGTCCAGGTTCGGTGTTTCTCGGTATCAGTTGGATGAGCGAGGACTAACGAAGGAGCCGTAGCCTCAGGGAGGACATAAGTGTCTTGAGAAGTAGAGCCCATATTGTCGACAGCTGTTTGTATAAGTAGGTACCTAGCAGTACGGGATAAATAACTGAGCCTTTCGTCACGGAGAATTGTAATCGTTGTAAACTTCTAGGATCAAAGCGTATTTGTTGGATATAGGTGATAAGATAATCGGCATAGCCTAAGGAATGGCGTTTTCTGTAAGACTTAGCAACACTCAGACGTTTAAACAAAAGCTTAAATGTTTTGGAATCATGCCAACGCCAGACTGCTGAGCAAGAACAAAGAAAAGCTAAAAAAAAAGTACAGCCACGAAAAACGTGGTAAGGTACCACCAACAAGACATACATATACTAGCACATATATATATATATGTATAATCTTGACGTATGAACCCTGCGGATAGGGGCCCCAAGATAAAACCCGGTGACCAGTCAACATGCATGTATCCCCACGCAGGGGGACTAGTCCATTACCTTGAACCACGACTATAAGAAGAAAAGGGGGGTGATGATAGTCTAGCACTGCATAGGCCAAGACTCTATAGATTTTATGTAACAAAATGCAGAAATTCAAGAAAGCCGGCGAGTCTACCGGACTTCTTTAGCTGGCCTGAGCCGCTCCGGCTCTCGATCTCGGACCGGGGTTCGGCGGACCACTTGGTCGAAAACGGTAATAATTAGAAACCGGCATTATGCCTATCTTTTTCACGGCTTCGGGAAGGTAATAGTGAAGGGATTTTAGTACAAGGAATATATGAAATACATACCTTTCATAAGAAAGCCCACGACAATGGATTAAACTAAACTGGCGAATTCACTTCGTACGATTGCTACAAAAGGCGGACTAATAAGCTGAGCGGGATGGGGCTTAAGGCAGGTGGGTCTCGGTTATACCGTGAACGCTGTGGGGCGTCATGCCGATGCAACCCGCCTCGAGTTTAGGTGTACAGGCGGGATACAGGTGGGACACAGGTGGGACTTATAGGTTGGCTTACATGCGAATGAGCTCTGCTGACCTTGGTTACCACATATTATACTCCATCATCACACTGCATGGTGCACGTACTGGAATATCACTGGACGCTAATGTAAGTGGACGAGTTGATTACCTCGGATCTGGAATTTGGGCTATAGAATTAAACTTGTGTCTTAAACCGTCTTCCTATTAGGAACGCCTCGCGCCCACCATGTTTCCCTTTATTTCCTATCAGTGTCCATGTCCATCATCCGGTTCTCCCCTCTCTTCCGGATCCAGCTTGATCAGGGTATCAATTCTCATTATGCTGATACACGCCTCCACCGCGCTCTTTAGCTGTCGAACCTTGCTCATGCTGGGTTCTAATACGCCAGCCTTAATCTCGTCGACCACCTTTCCCTTCATCAGATCCAAACCATAGTTCTTGTAGTTCTTCTTTTTCGCGATCGTTTTCTCGTCCTCATTGCCTTCTCCATCTTGTGTCCTCTGCGACAGAGCATGTCGAGACCGTAATTGCGCCACTAATTCGCTTGCATCTTTAGCGGCGTTGACAGCTAAGGTCTTGGGAATAACGAGAAGCGACTGCGCGAATTCTCCAATGGCAAGCTGCTCTCTTGAGCCGACTGTGCCTGCGAACTCTTCCAGGTAGATGTGCAGTGCGGTTTCCACCGCTCCACCGCCGGGCACGATGCTACCACTCTCCAAAGTTCTCTTAACCGCACACAGCGAATCGTGAACGGATCGCTCCATCTCGTCAAGAGTGAAGTCGTTCGGCCCTCGAAGGAGGATAGAGGCTGACGAGTGCGTTTTGGTTCCCTTGACCATGATACACTCATCGTCTGAAATACGTTCCTGAACAACTTCTTCGGCGTGGCCCAAATACGAAGGTTCAAAACGCTCGTCACCGTTCAGATCGGAAAGTGTGCTCAATAGGGTCGCGCCGGTAGCCTTTGCGATTCGTCGCAGGTCTTCCTTCTTGCACCGCCTCACAGCCATAGCGCCACGCTCGATGAAGAGTTTCAAGCACATATCGTCGATACCTTTAGTCGTTAGAATAACATTTGCTCCAGCCTTGAGTATCATCTCCACTCTCTCGATAACCATTCCTGATTCTCGTGCGCGGATCTGTTCGAGCTGTTGAGGGTCATCGACTGTGATTTGTACACCCAACTTCATCCTCTCCTTTTGTAGGTTCATATCCAGTACTGCAATCTTAGCATCTTGTACCCGCGTAGTCATTGCCTGCGATGCAACGGTACAGTTTAAAGCATATCCCTTGACTAAGACAGATTCTAAAACGCCCTTGCCATGTGCTTTTAGTATGTTGACTGCCTTGACGGGATATTTCACCTCACTACGGTTATTTGTCGTCTTGACTGCTTGGAGAGCATCAACAACCATGTTAGCAAAGAAGTCAGAGTCGGCGCCGATAATCTTGCTGGACATTGACGTCTTTGCGATGCTGATTAGCGATTCGCGGCCGAGGTTTTCCACTTTGATGCTGACATTCTCGTTCATGTATTTAATGGCCTCTCTCAAAGCAAGTCTGTAGCCTGTGATGATAGTAGTTGGGTGTATTCGGTTCTTCACGAGCTCGTTTGCTCGGCGAAGGAGTTCGGCGGCGATAAGCACTACCGAAGTTGTACCATCACCGACTTCTTTATCCTGCTGATGTGCTAAGTCGACGAGGATCTTTCCAGCGGGATGTTCGACATCTAGTAAGCTTAGGATGGTCGCGCCGTCGTTGGTTACTGTGACATCCTATAATATATAGTCAGTTATGAAGCAGCCACATTTAAAACGGTAGTCTACGTACTCCAATATCGTCTACCATCATCTTATCTAGACCGCTGGGCCCAAAAGAACTCTTGACAACGTTCGCTATGGATTGGGTAGCAAGAACTATATGACCTAGTTAGCTGTGTATAACAATATTAAGAGCTACTTTGAGGAGGAGTAGGGAGCTACTTACCATTCTGATCCCTGATATCTGCACCGGAAATCTTCTGGCCGCCGAGGAACAGAGTCCCATTCGAAGGCTGCTCAAACATGGAAGCCATCTTTCAGGAAGCCTGTTATACTTGGTTATAAATAACAAAAAAAAAAACCTTCCAGTGTAGTCGAGAAAAGAGGGGAATTTGGTATAATCGGAGCTGCCAGGCTGCTTCGATATTTTGTTAGGTGATTTTGTTAGGTGAAGCTTCCTTAGCACCCACCTGCACTTGGAACTTTTTTGCGGAAGTAATGGTTATTCCTAGTCCGATAATAAACGCACGGTCCTATTTTCTCTTATCAGCCCCTCAAGCCCCTCAGGCCCCTCCAAAGGTTTTGGACCCCTCGGACCCCTCTATTGGGGGAAGGAAATCGCGGGGCACCATTGCAATTTCCAGCTCGCGTTACCTATTACTACCAACATAGTACGGAGGTACACTGTTTTATTTTTATCCAGGTGGCACCTTCACAACTACATATATCGCTCTGGTGTGACTCAAATATCAAATATCCTCCGCTCTTAAACTTATCACATTAATTCTATTTTGTGGTAATAACTTGATCCTTCTTTGTAATTTAATTGTTTCGAGACCACCTCATCGCCCTATCACCGAGTAGTAAACCAGGAGACGATAAACATGGAGGAGAACAAGCCAGTCGAGCAATCTAAGAGCGCCCTTAAAAAGGCCGAAAAGGAGGCCAAGAAAGCTGCTGAGAAAGCTGCAAAGGCAGCAAAGCAAGCCACTCTTCCAGTTGTCGGCTCGAGTAGCAAGAAGGTAGACGATATCATTGGAATTACTACCTCCAAGGCGGACAACTTCGCGCAATGGTATCAAGAGGTCGTGCTCAAGGCCGAGATGGTCGAGTACTATACCGAAATTTCGGGTTTCTACATTATGCGTCCTGCAACTATGTATATCTGGAACGTCATTCGCAAATGGTTTACGGAGAACATCGAGGCTTTAGGTGTTGACGAGACCAACTTCCCCATGTTCTTATCCCAGAAGTCTCTAGAGAAGGAGAAGAGCCACGTCGAAGGTTTCGCCCCTGAACTCGCATGGGTAACAAAAGCGTGAGTCAGAATATTATTTTCAAGGGCATGGCCTATGTCGGATAGCAGCTAATTCTAGGTCGTTACATAGTGGTGATAAGAACCTCGAGGTTCCAGTGGCAGTTCGCCCTACCTCCGAAGCAGTCATGTACCCTTACTACGCAAAGTGGATTCGTAGTCACAGAGATCTTCCCTTTCGACTGAACCAGTGGAATTCGGTCGTGCGATGGGAAGCGAAGCAAACCACCCCTTTCTTAAGAGCACGGGAGTTTTTATGGCAAGAGGGCCACACCGCGCACTTGACCGAGGAGCTTGCCGGCGAGGAGGTCTTACAGATCCTAGAGCTCTATGCTTCCATATACGAACAGCTCTTAGCAGTGCCTGTTGTGCGAGGTCGAAAGACCGAGAATGAGAAATTCGCCGGTGGGTATTACACGACGACAGTAGAGGGCTATATCCCTTCCAACGGACGAGGCATTCAGGGCGCCACCTCGCATTGTCTTGGTCAAAACTTTAGCAAGATGTTTGACATCACCGTTGAAGACCCGAACGAGAAGGGAAAGCACATCAACGTTTGGCAGAATTCGTGGGGTCTATCAACCCGAGTTATTGGCGTGATGGTCATGATTCACGGTGATGACAAAGGCCTGGTCCTCCCTCCACGAATTGCCAAGATCCAGACGGTTCTGATCCCTGTCGGTATCACCAAGAGCACTAGTCCTGAGGACAGGGCCAAGCACAGCGATAAACTCTCCGAAATCAAGCAGACCCTCAAGACGGCAGATGTGCGCGTTGAGATCGACACGAGAGAAGGATACACCCCGGCTTGGAAGTTTAACGACTGGGAACTAAAGGGTGTCCCTCTCCGTCTAGAATTCGGACCAAAGGATGCAGCCAAGGAGGTCGTCAGCTACGCTCGCCGAGATACCGGTGAGAAAGGTACCATTCCTCTTACTGAGCTTGCTACGAAGGTTCCCGAACTCCTTGAAACGATTCAGAGCGATATGTACAACAAGGCAGAGAAGGCTTACAGAGAGCACCGTATTATCGTCAAGAAGTGGGATGACGTCCTCCCTGCTCTAGATGCCAAGAACGTAGTGATCATCCCCTTCTGTCTCGACGGCAAATGCGAGGACAAACTTAAGGAACTTACGACTGGCCGCACTGATGAAGACCCTAACACCCCAGAAGCACAGAAAGCTCCATCGATGGGAATGAAGAGCTTGTGCATTCCTTTCGAACAGCCAGAAGGCTTAGTCCACGGGGAGACCAAGTGTTTGAACCCAGAGTGTGAACGACTAGCTGAGAAGTTTGTCATGTTTGGACGAAGCTACTAAGCAATCAATTGCCAAAGAAATCCTCATATCTCATGGCGGAGATTTACGCGGAGTCGGTTAGGTGGGCGCGGTTAAGATATCACATGTAGCAGCGACGTGCGCTCTCAAGTTACAAAGTATGGTAGTTCTGCTTTAGGAATCATAAAATGCTATTGGTCGGACATGTACAACTTGGTATCATTCCATTTAATCGGGCGTAATATGGCTGCCCTCCAAAAAAGCAAAAAGAGAAAAAGAAAAACGAATCAGAGTTCTAGACTATTAGATGTGATATAAGCCAGTGTCACATCTCATTCGAATCGTCTATTGGTAATTACCGCTAATGCCCTTATAGCATACCTAAGCTACATATAGTCTCAAATGTGGGCGAGCATGTATAATACAACTAGAATACCTAGCTCGAGTACACCGGCGCTTACCAGGGCAAGTATATAGAGCAGCACAATGTGATAACTCCTGAGGTTACACAAGGCGTCATTGAAGCCCCCTTTGAAGTCCAATTGGCCTGGTAAGCTTACACCACTCCACAGCGTGGCTGATACTAAGCTTCTCATCAAAATGCCTGATTAGCCATGTTGCTAGAGAACTCGTTAGGGTTATTTATCGAGAGCTAAACCAGTTACACCCACGTTAGGATATTGATGGGAATCCCTTCTGATTTGTCCACTGCGAACCATACGCGGTCATTATTCTTCATTGGGGTAGTAGGGTCCCTATTAAATACGCCACTTTCTACACAGTTGTGTATGACCGATGAGATAGGCGATGGCATAAGAAGAGATCGTGTCCGGCGAGGACGTCGGTTGTAACTTCACTGGTGTCTTTGCTGTTATACACACCTTTAGTTACTCAAGAAATAAAATTCCGCCTATATATAATCTTCAATATGCCGAGCCTCATAAATACGCCAGCTGTAAACACAACAGCCGACTCCTTCTCACTCGCCGGCAAGATTGCTATCGTTACCGGCAGCGGTCGCGAGAACGGTATTGGAGCAGCAACAGCAAGGGCATTAGCACGTAATGGCGCTTCCGTAGCTATCCACTACGTCTCGGAGGGCTCAGCTCAGGGGGCATACGAGATAGCCCGGTCGATCCGGGAAGAGTACGGGGTCAACGTAGCATGTGTCCAAGGAGACATATCCACGCCGGAGGGGTCCCGGGGGATCGTTGCCGGGACACTAGCACAGCTCGGGGTAAACCACATCGATATCCTTGGTATGAAGCCTCACGTAACCGTGATATCCCCTACTATACACCTTCTATACAACAAAGAGCCCTCCACTAGGACTATAGGATACCCATATTAACATAACATACTATTACTCCCTAGTCAACAACGCAGCCTACGCCGCAACCCGGCTCCTACGAGAAACCGACTTCGAGCTATGCCAACGCACCTTCGCCACCAACGTATACGGCCAGCTATTCATGACCCAAGCAGTCGTCGACCAGGGCCGCATGCCGCCAGGCGGCCGGATCATCAACATCGGGAGCATAGCGTCGAAGACGCACCCGCCGCAAGTCGGGCTCTACGCGGCCTCCAAAGCGGCGCAGGACAGCCTGACTACGTCGCGGGCTGGCGAGGTAGGGATCCCGATTTCTAGGGTTAGGTTAGGAGAGGAGGTAGTAATAGTTAGCTCCTGGATGATAAAAGCTAATAAGGCTCGATATGTACATAGCTCGGCTGCACCCACGGCATCACGGTGAACACGGTGGCCCCGGGCCCCGTGGTTACGGACATGGTTAGGGACTCGCCCGAAGTCATCGACCCGATGGTTTTGCTGCAGCGGGGCGCGGAACGCCGCGGTATGCCCGGGGATATTGCTGATGTGGTGCTGCTGCTTGCGTCGGAGAGGAGTCGCTGGGTGACGGGGCAGTTTATTGCTGCTGATGCCGGGATTACGGGGAGTAGGTGAGGTTTGACTTGTATGATATGTTAAGGAAGGATGTGTTTTTGGGTTAAGCCGGGCTAAGAGTGGTGTAGGTACAGCGAAAAGGGGTAGTTTGTCTACATTTAATATGTATCAGTTGTCAGCTGTATAGGGGTATTCTCACATAATCTATTCCGTTATCCCCCCTCCCCCCATCCGAATAGTTCGCAGCTCAGTAGTATCCGAAGTACTCCTCTCAGCTCCCAACATCTCCAGAAAACCTACCAAGCCGATGATCCAAAGGCAAAGGCCCATCTCCCATTCCTCGCAACATACTACTAGCTTCCAAATACCCATCAATCTCACGACACAGCAAATCCGCCTTCCCCCCATCGACCACATCCACCCAAATGACCCCCCGCGCAATACCAACAGCCTGCCCACCAGTCCGCAAGCCCATACTCTCCATAATCCCCACGATCGTCAGAACGTGCCACGCCCGGCCCGGACTCTCCTCCTGCATCGCGCTGACGACGTGAGCCCAGAGGTTCAACTCGGGCACTACGCCCCAGTCCACGAGCGGCAGCTGCGAGATCTGCCTGAACGCGTCCAGATGCCTGTGCATCTCGGGCGCGCCCGCGCCCATCGCCACCTTCACCGCGGCCAGGAATACCAGCGCCGCGCGCCGGAAGGCCTCCCGCGCCGCCGTCGCCGAGTACCCCGGGTCGGCGGCGTCAGCGGGCAGCGCGCGGCCCTCCAGCGAGAGGATCGCGTGGAAGGCCGGGCCGAGCAGCCGCGCGATGGCCACGTCGTCGGTCCAGAAGGCGTCGCCCGCGGGCCGCCGGTTGATGTAGCTGGCGACGGCGGCGGTTGCCCTCATGGCGCTCGTGATGTCGCCTAGGGCGGGGCAGTCCGCGTCCCAGGAGGCGAGCAGTTGCTCTAGGTACTGGGAGTCGTTGCCGGTATCGATTTGTCGGATGGAACCTGCTGGGATGCTGAAGCGCGGCTTGATGTTGTGGTATGTTGCTCCGATTAGATCGAGCCTGTGTTGTGTTGGTTGTGTTAGGTGATGGATAGATGGATAGATAGACAGACAGACTTTGTGAGGCGGGTTGCAAGAAGAAAACTTACCAGGATATCATAAATCGCAGGAACGGGCTGCTTAACGTTTCCAGACCTCCTTTCTTATTGATGATACACTGGAGGCCTTCCATGTGAATACGAAAGCGATCGAAGTTACCTATTGTGGCCTGGAATATCTTTTAGTATGATAGGTAGGTAGTTGATAGAGTAGAGTTGTATAAAATAGCACGTACGTCGTGGCATATAAATCCCGTAATAGCAACTATAAGCCCCTCCTTGTCTTTCTCGTCAGGATCCGCAAGCCTCTTGGTAATGGACGCCAGCGACAGCGTATACCACTTCATAGCCTCGACGCTGCAGCTATATTCCGCCGTAGACCCCGGCGGTAGCTTACTGGCAGTACGATACGAGGCGGCGTTCGCAAGAGTAATATGCCAAGCGGCCGCATCCGAGAGTCCCATTGTCAGCCATGTGAATCGAAATGGTCTATAGCGAGATTTTGCTTCGTCGACAACTGATATACTATTAGACTTGGAGATTTCATGGCTTTTTATGGATTCTTTATTTACTATATCGGATCAGACTTAACCGTTCCTCGTTCATATCGATCGGATACGGTAGCGTCTGTAATATACTGTCCCCCCTTGGATCTGGGAGAATTAAAGTTGTAGATGAGCTGCCCGTCTGTGGTGTATCCCCGTCCGTAGCAGCGGGCGAACTACTCTCACCAATAACCACTTCTCTTCGCGTCTTTGCCCGCGGTTTCCGACGCGCCTTGCCGATATCTTTCATGACATGGCGACGGATTTTGGTGGAGTGGCGTTTTACGTCGCCGGGACGAGCCACGTTCACGAATTCGAATTCGGGCATGTCTGCCACGGAATGGGGATGAGATGTCCTTGGAATTAGCGCCGGTGTGATTTCATGTGAGTTCTAAGAAAGAACTACATAACCATAATGTAAGATAGTTATAATCTTAGGGTGAAATGTCACTTAGATGTTAGTTAAAGAGTCATGAGGATCAATGGATAAGATATCCAAGCCAGTATCAGCCAATCATCATCCCCAATTAAGAGCATTCACATTATGCAATGATATCACCCCTAGTCCCAGGTCCCTGGACTTATACATAGTAAGCTGCGATTCGACTAGCATACGATGCCTACATGGGCCATGGCAAAATACCGGGCCATCATTGCGCCGACCTAACTTGGTGGTGAAAAGGGGCTGAACTTGACCTTGAGGTAGAATTAACTCTAATCGGATATCCGAATAGCCTCATTCTTTATTTACAAGTCTTAGCAGCACTAGAAAACGAATTAATATGCCCAGCCAATATTTTACAGAGGACTAAATAATATAATTATTATTATTCCACTGAGCAACTCACAGAAGCAATGCGGATTTAAACATCTCACATATCATTCACTCATCACATAAACCACACACATCCAAAACCCAAGATATTCATCACGAAACAGACATCACATTGAATTGAATTGAAAGCGCTAATCTCATATATGACCCATCATAAACCGCCTAATTTTACAACCCAGACTCTCCCATGGCCATCCCATGGTCCCCAATCAATCAAATCAACCAACCCTCTTACTTACGCGCCCAACGCAGCATTAAACGCATCGGCAGCAGCCTGTCCGCTTAACGAGTCGGCCGCTTGCGCGCCCTCCTTGCACTGCGCAACGGTAGCAGCCGAGGCGTCGCACTTGCTCTGGAGCTGGCTGCAGATAAAGCCGGTGATGACGGCGGGCTTGAGCGCGGAGCCGTGGTTGAAGTCGGCGGTGTTGACCGGGGCGAAGGCATCCTCGTTGGGGCGGTCGCTCTGCTTGCCGAAGGAGATGGCGGCAGATCCGCAGGATCCGGTGTCAGCGGCCTGGCGGCGCTTCTTGCCGTTCTGGGCCACGCACTGCTGCTGCTGCGCCTCGCAGTCGGCTACGCTGACGGTCGCGTCGCCGCCGTTGGCCGCGTTGGCGCACGCGTTCTTTTGCACGTCGCAGGCCCGCTGGATCGCAGCGCCTAGGTTTAGGAACTCGGCGCCGTTGACGGAGAAGGGCTTGTCGGCCGTGGAGCTGATTACGGGGACGGGCGCGGAGCCGACGCTGCCGGTGAAGGCGTTGACGTTGTTACCGGTTGTGGCGGTGGCAGTGGCTCCGCTGCTGCTGGCACTGTTGTTCGAAGCCTTATCGTCGGCGGCATCATCGGCGGCGGCATCGTCAGCCTCGCATCCTATTTATTCCTATTAGTACTGGTTCTAATACTCAATATCCCAAGCAAAGTTCTACTCACCATCATCAGCGGCATCATCAGCAGCGGCATTGCCGGTAGCATTGCCAGCAGCAGCATTGTTGTTGCCGGCGCTGGCCTTGCCACCAGCCGCGGCGACGGCAGCATCGATTTCAGCTGCGGTGGCATCTTCGACAAGGAGGTTCTGGGTGAAGATGCAACCCTCGGCGTCGTCGGCGACGTCGCAAGTGTTACCAGCACCGGTCTGATCTCCAATTTCGCCGGGAGCAAAGGTTCCCGATTGAAGGGCGAGTTGGGGATCGGCGCCGACAGAGGCAAGCTGGACAGCTAGGTCAAGGGTGATCTGCTTGTTTAGAGCAGCAGCGCCTGAAGAGGCGGGGTCCTGATGTTGCTGGATAGCAGCAATCTCGGGGTTCTTCGCGGTTTCCGTGCACAGAACAGAGGCTAGACCGACCGAGCCAGTGTTCCTTTCAAGAGCACGGTAGATCAACGCGTTGGTCATGCCCTCAACATCGTTGGCAGCCTTGGCGTTGGTGAAAGCCTGGTCGGCAACTCGCTGTTGGAGGCAGTCCAAGTCCTGAACCAGACCAGCACCCTCAGCAGCGGCCTTGTTTCCAAGGAGAGCGAACACGGGGTCTTGGACCTGGTCAACGTTGTTCAAGTTCAAGGCCTGGCCGACGCCCGTAAGGAACTTCTCGTGGGAATGCTCCTCTGCATATTCGCGTTAGTCTTATCCCCCCAGGTGTTCATCGGCCAGGGAACTTACGAGGAACCTCGCGCCTGAACTTGGCAGATGCGCCGGTAGGAGACTGGGCCTTCCTGAATATCCTCACGGCATCAGGGCGGGCAGATGCCACGCTCAAGAGAGCGAATAAAGCAGCACTGGTTTCGACCTTCATATTGTCGGATTTGGGGTATTAACGATTGTTCGTAACTATAGAGATCGTCAAGTCTAAAAGAGGCCCTGCCTGGTAAGATTGTTATGCAAGTAAAGAACGTTAACTAGAATACACGAAAAAGAATAGTTCCCAGAACTAGAAAGAATGTAAAAAGGTCAGAAAGCGATGCTGTCGTCGGATGAATAAGAATAGAAGAGAAAAAGAAACGTCTGTATCGTATAGGACAGCAATGTCCCTATATACCTGATGGCATAGAATATTCGAAGCGGCATCATAGACGCCAAGCATGGCCCCTGGCTAAGATATACGCCCCCTGGCGAAGCTCTAGCGTGGCATGCCGGGCGGGTTTTTTCTCCTTGTCGCCAAGAACCGTCCAAACTAACTGTCTCACCAGAAGAGGGTATATCGACCCTGGCCCCCATAAGATCTAATCGCCCCAAGATGAGATGTTACTAGGCTGGAGAAGAAACACCATGGTCCCGATCTAGAATAGGCGGCTAGGATGGCTCGCATCGGCTCGAGTAGAAGCCGGAGGGAACGAGCTGCCAAGGGTTAGGACGAAATGCTTTGCATATGGTATTGGCACGCAAGAGATCATACCCAGGATGCTATTATCTATGCTGGGATTCAGGGCCGGCGAGCCGTGCGCGACACATTACATAATTGTGAAGTGGCTGTCAGGAGGAGCAGATCAACAATAGCCTTGTCATCAGCTCATCTGTTCCGCGGGACAGTAACGCCTGTGTCAAAATGTCAAAGTGTCAAAGCTGGGGGGCTAAGTGGGCACGACAGCATCCATTTTCGGGTTTGAGACCGACGAAGTTGGGATGAGACTGACTATCCAACCTGAGGTGTGTCAAAGTGGTCGAGCCGCGTCCAGGGGGTCGCAGGGGTTATGATTGGTTGGGCCAACAACTTTGAGAGGGAAACCCCTGGCGCCACTTGGATCGCCTCATGGCTCACTTCAGTGTCTGGAAATCAACAAATGTGATTCTGCGCTGTTTTGCTCATCCGAATGTAGACACGTCTGTTCTCATATCCTAGATATCTTGTCCGTATTTGTATATAGATCTCCAAAGTGCAAACCACTTCCTAATTCACTTCCTGATTCATTTAAAAAGCGATACGAGGTCGACTGGCCTTAGATTATGTACCGATAATTGAGTAATTAAAGTTGGAAATTTTATAGGGGGGGTCCATCTTGAAGGGGTTATAGCCAGTTATAATTATATGTAAAGACTTAACCTAGGTTAACTGGTTATTAGGTTAAATTGATAATTTAACACCTATGTAAGAGGAATATCCAGATATTATATTTCACATAATACTTTTCAGCCTTTTATAGATATGTCAATATTCTGACATTCCACGCAACTCTGTCAAAGCAGTATACCTCCTGCAACGGCGCCAGGACCAAGAATCGGATTACCGCCCGGCAACGATGTCCTCCGGGGTTAGGTGAATCTTATGACAATGAATAAGGTTCCATCTACAGGGCCATATATAGGGCCATATATAGATTTTCTCACCAATGCCGCTGCTGGATCATCCCCGCATGGATATCCTATTGCCTGTGTTGCTTTGACGTGTAGGATGTGGATGGCATACAGGGTTCGTTCTTTGACATTGATTGATCGCCTCTTGGTGTCTCATCCCAATGGGTCTTGTGGCTCTAATGTAGGCGGTCTACGAAGTTATCTTTCTGGCATTAACCATCTTATGATAATCCACTTCGATATTTACATAGTACATGCAACCGTCTTTGAAGGGCTTCTTGGAGTCGGACTCAGACATAAGACTCGATTCTAACCCTAATATTATATCATATATATAGTGTGAACGTCTTAGTCCTCGTTGATATCCTTATTAAGCAATAAGCATACCGGTTTTTTTTTATACTTCTTCATAATCGTAGGCTTAGATGAAGTTGCTTGTAATGTGGTGCTATGGCAAGCCAGCTGTAGCAGCTAAGACGTCTTAACCACTCGCTCATGCATAGACGATATAAACAGACACAAGTAGTCTTAGAAGTGATGATACTTTTTTAATCTCAACAAAGTTTCGAATTGTTTGTACAGATTAGCCTTGGCCATGGCCACGCCAGGGAAACTTCTAAAGAATGCCACGATGAACCTCAAAACGATCATGTCATTACGTCTATCAAATGAGGCACGACCTGCCGCCAGTCTAGGTAGTTGGTAATTGTACAGCGTAAGCTCGCTTTAACCGATAATCAACTTGTCCTCCTCGGGGAACTCGTACGAGGGGATTTCGAGGTTGAGCGGCGCCGGTCCTTTCCTTATACGTCCCGAGATGTCGTAGTGCGATCCGTGGCACGGGCAGAACCACCCGCCGAAGTCTCCCGCCTCGCCGATAGGCACACAACCTAGATGCGTGCAGACGCCTATGATTACCAATTGTTAGCCATATAGATCCATAGACACCTGGACTTAATAACCAAAATATCGAGTCGTAGGCATATAACATAGTCGGAAATAAAAGATAGCCGTACCCAACATGACCAGCCACTCAGGCTTCTGGACACGGTCCTCGTCGGTCTGGGGATCACGTAGCGATGCGACATTGACCGAGTTCGCCTCGTTGATTTCGTCTTCGGTACGGTGTCGGATAAACACGGGCTTTCCTCTCCACTTGATGATGACGTTCTTGCCCTCGGGGATGGCGTTGAGGTCGACCTCGACCTTGGCCATGGCCAAGACGTCGGCAGATGCGGACATGTTCTTTAGGAATTCTATGCGGAGAGAAGATTAATGGTTAATACCACAATCACAGCCAACATTCGGAATTACGGAGCTACGGAAAGGAACGGGCGCACGGCGCACGGCGTACCTTGCACAGTAGACTTAGCCCCGGCCGCGGTAATAGCACCCATAGTTCCAACCATGAAGTACTGGAAGAGCAGATTCGTGTTGGAGCTGTTCTTAGCCATGTAGTGGCCGAAGTCGGGGATCTTGGTAGACTTGGACTCGCCCTTGAACGGGCTGGAGTAAGAGCCGGCGGCATCGTTAAGCTGGGTAGTAGTGCTGAGGGCGCGGGCGGCATTTACACGGCTGCAGGATTTCGCTACTCCTCGCGCAAGAGCGCGGGACGCAATGGTCAGAGGCGCCATGGCGTTGTGGACGGATCAATTGGTCGGAGTCGTAGGGAGAAGTCGTAAGTATAAGGTTGAGGTCTTTTTTTTCTTTGTCGGTATCGAAAGACTTGGGCAATGTTTCCCTAAGCTAACGTGGATCTGCGAAACGTCCCGTAATTGGCCTCAGGCAGCGAAAATCCAAGAGCTGCGAAATTCCTGTCCATTGATTGGTTCAATTCTTCAATTCTTCAATTCTTCGGGTTAGCCCGATATCATCTGCTGAGTCAACTTTATTTGAAATCATGTGACCAGTATTTTGTACATGTACATGTACGTAGGATTAGTGTATAAGTGACGTCGATAAATGCATGGCAGCTCGAAGCGGGGTACTTGGGTACTTAATATGTATTCCCCTTACTTCATCAGCATCAACAGAAATATCCCAATTGTCACTGGGACCGATGCTTCAGAAGATCTAAGCGCGAACAATCTTTGACATCTTTCTCCCTACCATCATTATGCCTACGTATATGTACGCAGATTATGGGGACAGACCGATCACGGGTGTGATCATTCAGAACGCACAAGCGAACTGTGACCGAGGGGAGAGTTCGCAATATAAGACGCAACTGCTCATTAGCAGTACAGCGTCGTTTTTGCAACATCATCATTATCCTCATGTCTTATACTAGATGCAAAGTAAGAGCTCAGATATCACCATAAGCTCGCAAAGTCGTGTCAGTCGTTTTTGCATAACGCCTAGCCTGCAAACCCCTTCAATCCTTCAATCCACAAGTACACCAACCATCCCTCTAAACTGAACATACATGTCAGCCTAATACACGTAGATAAGACCCCATCTCCTAGGTTAGTGAATTCGTTTTAACTCCTCGACAAGATTTCGCATAGCTTCGACGTCAGGGCCTAATCCTGCGCATACCTCCTCCTGCATCTTCTCGTCAATGTCCAAGAACCGCTCAAGGAACTCTCCGTCTATGAAGCGGAACGGCCCCTCCGACTCTCGTTCCTCGTTCCTGAATGATCGGTATCTAGAGAAGAGTATGTTGCCCGTAGTCTCTACCACCTCTGCAAGCCTGTTCTGGAATCGGATTAGAAGATCTTGGTATTCTGATGCAATAGTTCCGAACAAATAGACGCCTCCTTCAACCTGTGGTTTTGTTTGTTAGCAACAATGCTTTGTTTGCAAAAGACTATGAGATGACTTACTGTGCCGAGGAATGCGCGCGGGATAACGACAGCATTCTCGCTAGCATCTACTACAACCCTTCGGATCTTATTCACCATTTCGCCAAGGTTAATCTCACTCGTGATTTCCATGCGGCGCTTATCCTCTATCGTGACACCGGTCAGGTTTCGCCGTAGTACCAGTAAGTTGCCCTGCGCATCCGACTCTAGCCATGATTCCTGGTCCACATGACACACAGCGGTGGCCCAGAAAGCTTGGTAGTGTCTTGAGACTTCCACAAGCTTGGCCGCTTGGCCATCAGCAGCCGGGACATACTCAACTAGCGTCATTGATTTCATCAAGTCAGCGACTGCGATTATGTTGCCATCGATTGCCAAATCAACAGGATAGGCAGCTGGTCGATATGATGCTACTTTCCTCAACTCTACAGACGTTGAAGATATCTCATCGTATGAGTACAAGACAACCGTCTTTGCTAAGGCCGCAACAACCATGTCCCCCATGACAGCTAGACACCTACAGGCGCCTTTCAAGTCCTTGCTGCTGATTACGTAGGGGACTCTTTCGCTGTCAACTCCGATAACTAAGATTCTGCCTCTGATAGAGTCCTCTGGTAAGATACCTTGCAGTCTGTCGAGAAAAGAAGTCCCAACCAAAAATCTTTCAACTAGATTTCCATATGAGTCAGGAAGCTCCGCTCGAATTACAGCCTCTATCGCTTCCACCCGTGTGGAGCTGCTTAAAATAATACCGCTTCCAAGCTGCTTGAAAGCAACTTCATCTACCAACTTAAACGAGCTAGTGAGAATCTCCGCATTGTTCTTAACCTCCCTTTTCAAACAGCCCAGACCAAAGGCCCTCTCGCTACGAGAATAGGCTATGCGGCGAATAGTTTCTCCCATTGGTAGTGTCTGCACGTGTGTTTGGCGTCCTGTGTCTATTTGTGATATTTTGATTTCTTTTTCTGTTGCAACAACGATGGAATCTGGAAAGGCTTCGGAATCGAATGGACACACACAGGTTGCATCATCGGCCGTGACTGCTGAATAGACCATTCTGCCTTCGGCTGCGTAAATCATACTGGGATGCTCGCTTGTGGCGAATACGTTGTAGATTCCCTCGGTCCGAGGTATCAATTGCAACCCAGCTTGTCGTGTCCCTAAAACAACACTCTTCCGCCCAGATAGAGAAAAGTCCACTTTTGATACGTTGAAAGTGATAACAAAACCATCCTCCATGGCTATAAACAACGTTGGTCCAGCTAGGTGTGGAGGAAGAACTTGCGCGAGCACGATACCTCGCGGTATAGAAGCGTTGTTATCTTTTCGCCGTAAGTTCTCTCCGTGGATAGACTGTAGTGTCTTTAGATCAATAATGGATATCGTGCCCGATTTCCAGAAGCCGACAACACCAATGGCAGGATAGTCCGGAGGCAGGTGTACACAGGCAACTTGATCTTTATCTTCTAGATCGTTATACTCGACTCGGGCTAGATCCTGTTCTATCCGTATAGATAAAAGAGCCGACCCGTTAACGGAGAGTAGAATCCACTCGTCACTTGCTGATACGTTTGTTATATGCCCTTCTGCGGGTTTCCACGTCGATACGACGACGCCACTCTCCAAATCCACAAGCAGTGCGCTAGTCGTAGTGACCTGGAGTATTCGACTACTTGGGAGATTTCGGGCCAGCAGCGTCTGCTCGTCGAATATCATCCCTCCGAATTCGTCTAGTTCTTCAACCTCGGCGCCAGGCGTAAATTTGAATATTCGAGTTTCCGTTAAGAAAGAAACGACCAAGGTATCAGTCTTGGACGCTCCGTGGGATTTAAGGGGAAATAATGATCGAACGTTTTCCATATCGGAAAGAACACCGATGTCATCCAACCCAACGCCACTTCGTACGCTACGCAAGCTCCCATCCTTGTGGGCACCGCTGCCGGTAACAATTCTTGCTTGACCAGAGGAGTATTCATTAGTAGTCTGTCCCTCACCTTCGCGATTTCCTAAATCCATAATATTGAGGTCCAAAATCGGAGCAATATTGTTCAAAGTCTGGATTAAACGTAGTGATTTCTCTTCAAGATCAACATGGAAAACTTGCGAGTCCCCGTATTGAGATCCGACAAACAAGACATTATCCCCCACATAGACGAGGGTGTATGCCCTCGAAGTCTCTCCGATCTTGGTCATTTCTAAGTCGGTAACCACAGGCCCGTCGAGTAGAATCTCAAGAAGCCACATGACTCCATAGTCGTCTCCAATTAAGTAATGTGAAACATCGTATTCCGTCCAAGCTACGAAGATGGAAGATTCCTTCAATGGAGTCTCAACCTTCTTCTTTGCGGCATCATCGTAGTATAGTAATCTAGTCTCCCCAACAACAATTAGCCCGCCGAGTTGAGCCCGCGCGGTAGAGGCATTTCGTATTATGTAGCGCTTTTGGTCCTCTTCGCCTTTACCAACTGGGATCAGGATTCTCGCGCCAGGATCTGGGATATCTATACGATCAACCTGATCTCGGACTTCGAACCTAGAAACCTCTGTGTTCTTATCGTCAGCTGTTAGGCGATATGTGACGAGCTGAGAGTCGGGAATGTCGGTTCGGGTTTGATAGAGGAATGCGATCTTTGGGTGGCCAGTTTCAACATGTAGGAAGGTTGCCCCTTTGATGTAAAGCTCTGATACCCGGACCTGGTCCATCCAGTGAAGATTCTGCCTCTTGCTCTTTACGGTGTGCATTCGTAACACATTAATTACTCCTTCCCAAAGGAAGACTACCATAAACCGCCCTGTCGGGTCCACTACGCACATATCCTGGCTCTGGGCATCACGCATATGTTTCTCATGGATGTCGAAGAATGAGTCTATCGTTTCTAGTCTTTTGGTTGTGGTATTCCATCCGAAGGTGAAGTAATGAAATCTATCAGTTCCAACAAAGACTAACTCAGTCTTGGTATCTCGAGGCTGGAGCTTCTGTAGTATGGAGATGGTACCGTTTACTCGTTTCGTGTCGGTGTGCACTAAGGTGCCGGACTCGTGGAGCTTCCATATTTCTAAACGATTGGTTTTGCTAGTAGAAGTCAGCTTTCACATAGCCAGGATACTGTCTATTTGCTGAGGTTGACCCACGCAAGAATCAAGCACTCATCCTCACCAGGAAACAGGTTGACACGCAGTGCGTGTCGCACACTGTTAGGCCGGTGAATAGGCGCTATGTATGCCATTTTCACGAAATTCACATTGTTTGCAGGGGCTAGAACATGGCAAGATGTGAGAAGCTGAACCGCTACTTTAAGTTGAATCTCGGAGCTTCAATAATATGATGCAAAAGTCCGGCAATAAGCAACTGCCTCGCGGGGATTGGAGATAAGCGATAAAGCTTATATGTGGGGTTAGCGATCCATGCCGCCCTATGTATTAGCGTACTGCTATCTCTTATTAGCGTTAGCGCTAGCGCTGTAGCATGCCAAAGTCCCAGGATAACTAACACAAATATACAGAAGATGTACTGAGTTATATCACAAATTCTACAGGAAAACAATAGGGGAAATTCAATTCAAGGACGTGAGTAATATTATTAAGTGCTTCAGAGTTATGGGTTTGTAGCATCAAAGAAGAGCACCTCCTATTATACTAGAATCAGCTTGCTATAAACATATCTCCAATCAACACATCAAACAATAGTATTTAACCAGTTTTTAACTTACACGATGAATGGGTGAGTTCCAACATATAAAATAAAAGTATAAGCAACAGGCTTAAGAATAGTTCGACATAAAAGTCGAGACTCAAGAGAAATATTGAAGAACAAGGAATCAATGCGTAAATTCTATATAGATTTCCCATGTAGGTACTATCGACTCTATTAAGGGCTAGAACTCTTAGATAAGGTAAATATATTCTATTCAACAAATGCATACACCTAATGGTATAAATATAAATTTTGGTAGTAGTAACGTTATCATATTGCCCTCAATAATGGTTGATCTATGATTCCGATCGAGTAGTATCATATATTTACTTAGACATACACCTAGACATACATATATTTGCGTCTTCATGGCTGTCCTGTAGACTCTTAGACACGACATAATAAATTATGTCGTTTTTCTAGGTCGGCACATACAGGCTATGTGATGCGTCGGTATGTTTGGAGTGTTGTATTCTGAGTAGAGTAAGAGACTGTAATCGAATGCCGAGCCACGAACCAGTGGATGGTTAGAAGTTCACTTTGTAATAACAATGCTCCTAAGATTCGGCCCTGGTAAATTTGTACAAGCGTCTGACAATTCTCTAGTAATAGACCGTAGGACATGATGGCTCACATGCTTCGTAGAGCTCCTGCGCTGAAGCTAACCTGTTAGAAGTGGTATAATACTGTGGTTTGCAGCGGGATAATCCACAGTGAAAACCTATAATGGTATCCTGCCTGTTAGTGACGATGGGTATCCAGGTTGTATCGGTTGTATATGACATTTTCTGTTGCCTCTAAGCTCAACTCCCTTGCTGAAAGTTTCAGAGACGTACTTTACGTTTAACTCTAGATCAGGAAAGGGACGTTTTGATTAATGATTCAATGATACTGAACTTTGCGCATTTCGCTCACAGGCCCTAAGTATTTTGATAATATCACATGAAGACTTTATATAGAATAAGAGAACCTCGAGTGATTTCAAAGTTCCTTTTCAGGTTGCCTGCTTCTCATTGTATCCGCATCTATTATGTACAATTGACTAAGACCCGGATCGGTTGGATTATCATATCAAATCTAATGCTTTGCCGCCTTCTCGCTCGCATCGGCTTGTTTTAAGAAGTTCCTATTATCGTTAGTTAGCAATGGTTCGTCGCGGGATATCCGGGATAGCGCACTGGATGAAATCGGCCTCGTCAGGGCTTGATGCGTTGATGGGAGGGGCCTGAGTAGCCTTCTTGCTTCCACCGCCGAATCCGATGTAGCTGCCGGTGAATAGGGTAGCGAGAACACCCATTGCGAGCTGGAGAGAGCAAGATAATTAGCATGTTGATGTCGACTATAGCAGAGACATATTGCGACGCACGTGATGGGAGCCGACCTGGCGGCCGAAAATAGTGTACATGGCAACCATTTTGACGGTATTGGCGAATTGGCCGCTAGAAAATGGATAGAGGGAGGTTTCCGATGCGAGTCGACGAGGGCGTAAGTGTCGAAAGTGTATTTGTATGTAAACCGTCAAAATATCAAAATACTGCTCAGAAGCTCCGAAGTTGAAATCCCCAAATCTGATCTAACTTAGAGACGTTAGCTTTAGTGGATCTCAAAGCGCTTTGTTTGATTCGTCAGATAATGTAACTAATGCCGAAGTTTATCCATGAAAAACATTCCGGACAAACCCCGGCCTGGGCAAACGGATCTTGCAGCGACAAGCCTTGAGACGGGGTAACGAGTAAAAAACCGTCCGAATCCCGATAGGTAGCGACGTCACTCAGAGTGTCGATAAGCTTCCACACTTTCCCGATTTAGGTTACATTTAGGCATGCTAGGCCCCATCCTCGAGAAACTTTGATATTGGGTATTGTGACTGTAAATTTATTACCTCAAATAACTGGTTCTACCTAGAAATATTATAGTCTATCGCTTCCTTTGGTTTGTAGCCACGATGTTCTGGAGTAAAGGACCGGAGAAAACTGAAGTTGCGAAAGATAAGAAGCCAGAAGCCCCGCCATCCGCAGCAGCCAACACCAGCTCGCGCAGCGATGCCAACGAGTTCGATCCCAATAAGCTCCCAACGCAGCGCAAGCTGCCAAAGGATTTACAGATGATCGTGGACAAGGCTGACAAAGATGAGAATTTCTTTGATGAGCTCGTAGAAGGATAGTATGTTGCGCATGATATAAATATAGTTGATGCGTTGTTGGGCTAATGTATTTTTTGCTCAGTGCGCCCGATTCTACAGAGTCCAACCTGCGATATGCCGCCTACGCAAACCGACTGCGAACTATTATGCTCTCGGCTCATCGTTATGTGGCATATACTTCGGACATAGGAGAGTCCTTCAGGCCTATCGCACATCCGTGGCTAGTCAGAAGCGCATATGGTATATCTTGGGCGTACATCTTAGGCGATGTCTCGTACGAAGGATACAAGGCCTACTGGCAGAACCAGCGAACGTTAAACCCGCAGATAGTCCTGTCAGAAAAGCAGCAGAAAGTTACCGGTTTGTCGATTACCGCGCCTGCTGATGCAACCCCCGGAGTCGTGTCGCCGTTGGAGGATTACCGCACCGTTATGGTCCAACGAGGTATCTTCCAGAGTCTTGCTTCGATGGGATTACCCGCTTTCACGATCCACAGTGTTGTCAGATACTCGGGGAGGGCACTGAAGGATGCTAAGAATAAGACGATCAGAGTGTGGGGTCCTATAGGGCTTGGCCTTGCTATCGTACCGTTCTTACCGACGCTTTTCGATAAGCCGGTCGAAAATGCTGTTGAGTGGATGTTCCACAAGGGTTTTGCAGCATACGGTGGGCAGGGGTACGTTGGTGAATCCCCAACGACAGGACGTGAAGCCGCCTTGGCACAGAGGCCAAATATGCAGTTGAAAGAAAAGGAATTGTAGGAAAACGAATACTAAGATAAAAGATGAACCAGCATATATGGCGTAAAGAGAGACGTCTCTACTCTCCGGGGACATGTTTTGATATCACTACAAAGCCTGAATTAGGGGTGATGGGGGGTCACCATGGAATGCGTGTATACATTGCGCTTCGAAGTAAGCTGTGTCTATATAGCACATCCATAAATATAAATCAGCCTCTCTGCTCTTATTATTGATTAAAGTATCTCCATTCCGCTCAAAATGCAATTCTAGAAACGCCGTTTCAAATGCAATAATTCGTAAGGTTAGGTTTACATCTCGATAAGATCAGGCGGCGGCCCTATACCTCGCAGTAACACTATCGTGTTGCCACTCACAAGAGCAGAGCTAACCTTTTCGTTGAACTCCAATACCCGCCCTCCTTCAACGTGGAATACCCGAAGCTTATCCCTCTCATCGGAAGACTGATTGTTGACGTTCTCGATTTGTAGACTCCTAGCCGCGGCATCCAGTACTCTGCCAACGACCCAATCCTTCGAAAAGAAAAACTCGCCCTTATAATTCTTGGCCGTTGTGGTCTCGGCCTCTGCTTCCACATATAGGTATACCCTCTTTTCGGGCGGCAACTTCGCGTCCCCCTTGGCAACCTTTTTCAGGTTATTGACGGCGACGAGGCGCGCCGATGCCGACGTAGGCTTGGGCTTCGGAAGCACCCGACTCGCTACCTCCTTCTTAGCGGCGCCCCAGGCCTTCAACTTTGCGAATGCGGACTTCGTTTGCTCGGAGACGTCGAACTGGGGGCGCGCGCCGATAGGTATTTTATTTTTGCAGTCGTGCTCCTCCTTTAGCCGGTGCTTGAGACAGTAATCGCGATTGCATGTCGAGCAGTGAACACCTGGGACTAGAGATGTGCCGACGACCGTCTTGCAGTCCGTCGCGGCGCATGGCTTTTGCGAAACAAGGTCGCGCAAGCGCTTCCCCTCGCCCACGGAGGGTTTTGCCAACTGAGCTTGGCGTCGTCGTTCGGCCCAGGCGCCGGCATTAGCGCATTTGTGAGAGGTCTCGCTTCGGTGGTCGAGGCAGAATGTCTTCTTGCAGCTCTGGCAAAAGAAGGGTAGGAAATCGAGCTGGTTGCAGTATTCGAGTTGGCAGTGCTTGCCGACAAGCGATACGTCGGCTTCTCTATCCATTTTGACGTAGCTAGTATCTTCAGCTTCGGCTGATGAGGATGCCATTTTTTAAAATTGGCAATGAGATCTTCTTATGTACTTTTCTCCTATATAAAAAATGAATGACGATAGGCAGATGCCGACTCGTAAGCCTCGAAGATGGCGAGGCTGATGATTAAGATGTCGCGGAATAGTCTGGAAGAAGCCGTGAGATACCTGTTGGGAGAGGCCGATTTTAGGTACCTTAGGTACCTAAAGTTAGTGGCGGGGCTACGAATGCGCTGCGGCTGGATTAGGCGGGAGCTTACGCTAGAGTTTAGGTACCTAGGTAGCCTTAGGAAACCCAAGGATGTGCTGGGATCCACTAACTAGTCCTAGTTAAGGTTTAATTGAACTTTAAAGAGCCATTCTAAGTCACGGGGTTTCGCGTTTTTGGCGCATTTCGATGACGACAATTAATTCGTGCCTACAAGGTTCTGTCTTACATAGCGAGGTGTTGTGATGTCGTAAAATATATATCAAGTCCGGTTTAATTCTAACTTACCTTCTTAATGTTTTCATCAAGATGCCTCCGTACGTACCGCGCAAGCGATTGCGCACCCCGCCACAAGACCGCGATAACCGGGTTGCAAAGGAGTCAAGTAGGGGTAAAAGCACACCGATAGCATCCGTGCTGCCTCGCAAGAATACTCTATTTGATGATCTAGATTCAAGCGCTAAGAAGGCCTCCGCTGAAAAGACCAACTCGGTTATACAACAAATGCATGAAGATGACGATGATAGTGATGATAGTTCGCTCACTTCTCTTTCAGATGCTGATTTCGAGGATGTGCCAGCTACTAAGCGACAGAAAGTGAATCATGATCTAGAAGAGTCAGAAGACGAGGATATGGAGTTTGAAGATGTTCCTTCCCACGAGAATCAACAGCAGGATCCGTATTTGGGGGGTGATCTGGAGTTGACATTAAACCGAGAAAACGAACTTCCATTGACTAGCGAAATGGGTAAGAAAGGTCCCTCGAAAAAGGAAAAGGCCATCCGTATTTCAATACACTGTATGCATGTCCAGCTCCTACTATGGCATAACGCGGTCCGGAATTCCTGGCTTTGCGATAGAGAAATTCAAGCTATTATGATCTCGCACTTGTCTCCGAGGTTATGGGACGAGGTGGATCGCTGGAGACGAAACAGCGGCTTAGACACACCTGAAGACACCCCCAAAAAACATACAAAGGCTAAAGCTGATCCGAAAGGAAAAGGAAAGGGGAAACAACGGGCTTCAGGATCGACGAGAAATTGGAGCAATGCAGCAGACAGGCTCGAAAAAGGTGTTCCTGACATGAGTCATGGCGATCCTCTACTAAGACTTATGAAATGTCTCGTTTCGTGGTGGAAACAAAGGTTTCGAATAATTAGTCCTGGGTTGCGCAAAGTCGGTTACATGAATGCCAGAAGACTAGGAAAACTAACTTCGAGCTTCGAAAAAGAAGGCGACGATTCGATTCGGTTTGGGGAACGGATTAAGGATCTCAGGGAGTTCAGACAACGTGCTCAGGATTGTACTGGCAGTCGCGATGTCGGAGCTCAACTCTTCACGGCGCTCTTAAGAGGTCTTGGACTGGAAGCACGAATGGTGGCAAATCTCCAACCACTGGGATTTGGCTGGAGTAGGGTCGAAGAAGCGGATGCTGAAATCGATGCTCAAAAGGCCCTAGATAATACGAGTACGCCTAATGAATCTACACCGAAGAAACCGAACGGAAAGAAGAAAAGGGTGAAACCAGCAACCCGTCGAGCAAAAAAGAATGACGAAAACGCTCTAAAGATGGACTTGGATGATTCGGATGAATATGGTGATCCGCTCACAGATGAAAGTAATGAAGACTCGTCAATAGTTGATGTTACAGACACTGTTCGTCCAAGGCGAGCAGAAGTAAAAGTTTATGATAAGGATCTTGAATTTCCTCATTATTGGACTGAGGTTCTTTCTCCGGTGACGAAGGAATTTCTTCCGGTGGATCCCATCGTGAAATCGGTTGTCGCTAACAGTAGAGACCTAATCGAAACTCTAGAGCCACGAGGAGGCAAAGCCGACAAGGCAAAACAAGTTATAGCTTATTGTATTGGTTTTTCTCAAGATGGCACAGCCAAAGATGTTACGGTACGGTACCTCAAGAAGAATATCTTCCCTGGTAAAGCAAAAGGGTTCAGGATGGTTGAAGAGAAAATACCAGTATACAACATGCATGGCAAGATCAAGAGATACGACCAGTTTGATTGGTTCAAGTCAGTTATGCGAGGTTATACCCGGGGCGATAGGAAACACCCAATCACAGAAGTAGACGAGGCAGAAGACTCCACTGATCTCAAGCCGGCAAAGCCAGAGAAGAAGGAAGTTAAGGAAGGAGAAGAGACATTACAGTACTATAAGACTTCAAAGGAATACGCCTTGGAGCGTCATCTAAAACGCGAAGAGGCTCTTCTTCCCGATGCTGTCCCTGTCAAAGTGTTCCGTAACAAAGGAAAGGCATCCAAAGTTGAAGAGGAAAATGTATACTTGCGAAAGGATGTGGTGACAGTGAAGAGCGCCGAGACCTGGCACAAGCAAGGCCGAGCTCCTATCGAAGGTGTCCAACCACTAAAGCATGCTCCATATAGGGCGGCAACTACCAATAGACGAAGGGAAATTGCCGAGGCCGAAAGGGCAACAGGCCAGAAAGTCATGCAACCCTTATACAGCTTCGACCAGACGGATTGGATAATACCCCCTCCTATTCAGAATGGCATCATTCCGAAGAACGAATATGGGTATGTCAATCACTTGGCTTACAACACGGCTAAGGCTAATATTAATGCAGGAACATCGATATGTTTGCAGAGCACATGTGTCCAGAAGGTAAGTCGTTCGGTATAAATATTGAGCTCCGTAACTAATCAAGATATAGGTGCTATTCATGTCCCATATCGCGGCGTTGTTCGTGTTTGCAAGCGATTAGAAGTTGATTACGCGGAGGCAGTTGTTGGGTTCGAATTTGGTCATCGGATGGCTGTACCCGGTATGCCATTTACCTCCTCGGTGTATAACCCAATAGGATGATTACTAATTTTTATTCCCAGTTATCCAAGGCGTAGTCATTGCCGAGGAAAATTACGAGCGTGTAATGGAGCAACTCGAGAAAGACGACGCAGAACGGGCGAGGAAAGAAAACGAGAAGCGGCGCAAGGAGGTTCTATATACATGGCGGAGGTTCTTGATGGGTTTACGAATCGCAGAGAGGTTCAAGAAAGATTATGGCTATCTGGATGAGTCGGTGGAGGTATTTGGCCACGCTCCCGACGATAATAACGACAAGGACTTCGAGACCATGCGTGAGAGAGACGAGGACATGGCTGGCGGATTCTTACCTGAGGGTTATGAAGAGGAAGAAGCGGTTGAAGAGAAAGAGGCCCCTCGTCAAACCTCTGGGTTCTTTCCGAGTGGTAATGAGGAGGAAGATTCAGATGACGGGAACGATCCTTTCGAGGTGGACTATGGGAAACAAAAGGAGGCAGAAGATCCTCTTATTGAGGAGTCCCCCGAACCGGAAATTCCAGCTAAAGTAGCACCTAGAAAGGCTGCCCCAAAGCCGAAAGCGAAAGCGAAGCAGCCTGCGCGAAGGCGGACTCGAAGGAAGCTTGCGGTATCTTCCGACGAGGACAGTGGGCAGGATGACGAATTCGTGGCTGAGGATGAGGATAGTGATTAATATATATATATAATGATGTCGAACAGTATTGTTGAACAGTATATGTACCATAGCGGGGTAGGGTGGGTACGAAGAACTGTTCCATAATTGAAAAGCGTTCCCTATAATCTATACACACCCTAACAGCTACCCCGTTCCCTATATAAGAATAATTCTCAAAAGGAGAACGTTCTTAAAATTAAGGGCATTCCTTGAAAAGTGGGTCCAAAAGGCGCTAAAAAGGCTAAAAAAATCAAAAAAATCAAAAAAGTTAAAAAGCGTGGTCCTCGAACCTATAGCTTTTACATTTGTATAACGTTAAAT